CCTTACCTCATGGTAAGGTAGCATACACCCTTACGTCATGATAAGGTAGCATACACCCTTAAGTCATGGTAAGGAAGGATACACCCTTAAGTCATGGTAAGGTAGTATACACTCTTACGTCCTGGTAAGGTAGCATGCACCCTTACGTCCTGGTAAGGTAGTATACACCCTTAAGTCATGGTAAGGTAGCATACACCCTTAAGTCATAGTTAGGTAGTATACACCCTTACGTCATGGTAAGGTAGGATACACCCTTACCTCATGGTAAGGTAGCATACACCCTTACGTCATGGTAAAGTAGTATACACCCTTACGTCATGGTAAGGTAGTATATACCCTTACGTCATGGTAAGGAAGTATACACCCTTACGTCATGGTAAGGTAGTATATACCCTTACGTCATGGTAAGGAAGTATACACCCTTACGTCATGGTAAGGTAGTATATACCCTTACGTCATGGTAAGGAAGTATACACCCTTACGTCATGGTAAGGTAGTATAACCATTACGTCATGGTAAGGTAGCATACACCCTTAAGTCATGGTAAGGTAGTATACACCCTTACGTCCTGGTAAGGTAGCATGCACCCTTACGTCCTGGTAAGGAAGCATGCACCCTTACGTCCTGGTAAGGTAGTATACACCCTTACGTCATGGTAAGGTAGCATACACCCTTACGTCATGGTAAGGTAGTATAACCCTTACGTCATGGTAAAGTAGTATACACCCTTATGTCATGGTAAGGTAGCATACACCCTTACGTCATGGTAAGGTAGTATAACCATTACGTCATGGTAGGGTAGTATACATCCTTACATCATGGTAAAGTAGTATACACCCTTATGTCATGGTAAGGTAGCATACACCCTTAAGTCATGGTAAGGTAGCATACACCCTTAAGTCATGGTAAGGTAGCATATACCCTTGTCATGGTAAGGTAGTTTACACCCTTGTCGTGGTAAGGTAGTTTACCACCTTAAGTCATGGTAAGGTAGCATACACCCTCACGTCATGGTAAGGTAGTATACACCCTTACGTCATGGTAAGGTAGCATACACCCTTAAGTCATGGTAAGGTAGCACACACCCTTAAGTCATGGTAAGGTAGCATACACCCTTACCTCATGCTAAGGTAGTTTAACCCTTACGTCATGGTAAGGTAGCATACACCCTTACTTTATGCTAAGGTAGTATACACCCTTAAGTCAAAGGTAAGGTAGTATACACCCTTACGTCATGGTAAGGTAGCATACACCCTTACGTCATGGTAAGGTAGTATACACGCTTACGTCATGGTAAGGTAGTATACAGCCTTACGTCATGGTAAGGTAGTATACACGCTTACGTCATGGTAAGGTAGTATACACCCTTACGTCACACCCTTACCTCATGCTAAGGTAGTTTTACCCTTACGTCATGGTAAGGTAGGATACGCCCTTACGTCATGGTAAGGTAGTATACACGCTTACGTCATGGTAAGGTAGTATACACCCTTACCTCATGCTAAGGTAGTTTAACCCTTACGTCATGGTAAGGTAGCATACACCCTTACTTCATGCTAAGGTAGTATACATGGTAAGGTAGTATACACGCTTAATACACCCTTACGTCATGGTAAGGTAGTATACACCCTTACGTCATGCTAAGGTAGTATAACCCTGACGTCATGGTAAGGTAGCAGGCACCCTTAAGTCATGCTAAGGTAGTATAACCCTTACGTCATGGTAAGGTAGCATATACCCTTACTTTATGGTAAGGTAGCATACACCCTTAAGTTAAGGTAAGGTAGTATACACCCTTACGTCATGCTAAGGTAGTATAACCCTGACGTCATGGTAAGGTAGCATACACCCTTAAGTCATGGTAAGGAAGGATACACCCTTAAGTCATGGTAAGGTAGTATACACCTTTAAGTCATGGTTAGGTAGTATACACCCTTAAGTCAAGGTAGGGTAGTATACACCCTTACGTCATGGTAAGGTAGTATAACCCTTACGTCATGATAAGGTAGCATACACCCTTAAGTCATGGTAAGGAAGGATACACCCTTAAGTCATGGTAAGGTAGTATACACCCTTAAGTCAAGGTAAAGTAGCATACACCCTTACGTCAAGGAGAGGCAGAGCCATATTGCGAAATCTTTAAAATACACCCTTACGTCATGGTTAGGTAGTATACACCCTTAAGTCAAGGTAGGGTAGTATACACCCTTACGTCATGGTAAGGTAGCATACCCCCTTACGTCATGGTAAGGTAGTATACACCCTTAAGTCAAGGTAAAGTAGTATACACCCTTACGTCAAGGAGAGGCAGAGCCATATTGCGAAATCTTTAAAATGACATTTCATTTGTGAATTATCATCAACACTCAATAAAAAAGATGTCTAGATGATGAGGATCAGTAATTGAGTATTGGTGAAGGGATTTTAACCTACCTGGTAACCAACGTGGTGTGGAGTATCCCTAGGACAAGAGGATTTAATGTTATAAAAAGAAGAATGTGACCTGTTTGGAGGTGGAGGGAAGCGACACTTTAAAGGGAAATGAAAAGGGGTTGTTTAGATATCTGAAAGACTATTAAGGCTTCTGAAATATGTTACTTGGCATTTTTTTTGTTTATTTTGGGATCATTTCATATTTCACTATTATTAAGGGACAAGTTATCTCCCCTTGATTTTGTCCAAAAAAGAGAGAACTACAGCTGATCAGGTAGATCTGGCAGTGAGTTTAGTCACCCTACGCTAAATCAGCCAAAACCTCAAACTAATTGCAACAGAATTTATTTTTCGTTTTTTGGAATGGTAGTTATCAGTACTATAACAGGAAAAAAGTCTCCTGGAATCAAACTTTGGTAAAATATTATTTTGAACTTCTATAGGAAAATCACAAATCTGACCACTTTTGAAGTGTAATATCTACCTCTTTTGCAATACTGGATATATAAGATTAACCGTATAGCAAGACCATTTGAAATATAGTACAGATTTACCAAAATGTTACAGCAGAGGTATTGCATTGAAAAATTATTGAACTATGAAAATGGCTTAAAAGCATTTTGAGCTTGACAATATTGGCTTTTGTTTTCTATTTAAATGCAGAAAATGCTAATTACTTAATCTCAGTGACCATATGAGTCTATATCTAGCTTCTTAAAACATCACATTTTGTCTAATATTAATGCACGAATAATGGTTCATTCACATACACAAAAAATATCAACCATCTAATTTGACCAATTGTGTCGATTTGGTGTTAACTTATGTCCAAAGTAAACAATTTACCTATTTCTGTAACATGTAATTTAAAAAAGGACAAGCAAATTCTTACAAGCATTTTATATCGTGTGCAGAACTGATCGGAAATGGTAATTTTGGTAAGATAAGTGTACAAATGTGTCCAAGCTCTGATGGTGAAAACTTTAACTCATGTAATTTTGCCTCAACACTAAAAAAAGGTCCATGATTCTGAACAACGAAAATCTTTATTTTGTGCACAGGTTTTGTCCGATTTACAATTGATTTTGCCAGTAAAGCGATGATAAAACGGATGTTTTTGTGAGATAAATTTGAAGTTAAACATTCATACAAGTTCATCATTTTATCGAAAAATACGTATCCCCCCCCCATTCTGTTCTATTGTGTGAAAGAAAACAAATGATCTGTTAAAATAATAAGATACGTGTTTAACCTTACCTCCCCTTAAGGTAATAGGATGGTATGGTGGTAATTCCTGCCAAAAGATTTAGCAATCGGATAAAACACACAAAATAACACATTTTGTTGGCCAAAATCATGAACTTTAACGGTTCAGTCAAATTTGCACGAGGTGAGGTTTTCATCAACCTGACTTTATTCATTATTTGGAGGCATCTTAACCAATATGGCATTTTTGCTAAGAATAACTTGCATAGAAAAAGATTTAGAGCACTTTTTCAGTATTTTACTGAAGATATTGTTAAAATCTTCCATGCATAAATTGAAATATTGTACAATTTGGACTTTAAAACAGCTCCCAGTCAGCCCCGCAGGCCAACTTTGACCATTCATAAATTCTAATATGTGAAAGAAAAACTTCTCATTTATGAACTTTTAATACACAAATCAGTTGTAAATGCATTTCTACAAAGCCAGTATCGATATTGATGTTGATTAACTTATATTCTGCGGTCTTAAAAATGCAACAAAAGCTAATATGTTTGACATTTTAATGCTTTTAGCAATATTCATGGTGTGAGATTTTTTCAATGTGATGGTTCCATTTATTTTTTTGGCTAATCTGTTTTGTACACTGATTGGTCTTGCAATACAGTTAATTCCTCCTATTCAGTGTTTCACAAGAGGTTGATATTTACACTTCAATGCAGTAAGCAATTATTCTAAAAAATATTTATCCTATTTCGGGCGAAAAAAACACATTCTCCCCAGAAGGTGATTTTTGTGGATTTTTTTTTGTTACACAGTATAAACTAACCTGTATGAAAATCCAGAAATAAATTATGTTGCAATTAGTTTGAGGTTTATCATGGGGTGACTAGACTATAGAGTGACAGTACTCTAATCAGTACACAGGTTTCGAATCCCGGCCTGTTGTTCATTCTTTTTCTTGTTTATTTCATCTTTTTCAATTTTGTCCTATCAGAGCCATGTCTGGTGTGATTTTGTTTTCAAAAATGATTTATCAAAACTTTTGTCATAAGAGCTATTTTCTACAAGTAGTAACAGATTTTGTCATTTGGTTCCAGTAATGCCTTTAGAAGTCCCTACTGTAGTCATTTCACATCAATATTAAGATCTGATTTTATCTCCGAGTTTTGATACTGACCATCTTTGTATGTACCCTTTGGGGAAAAACTGAAGTGTATGATTTCTCTCTAAAATCAATTAAAATTGTGATGTTTTATTTTTTTTCCAAAACCATTGGTCACCTGGAAAGGGAAGTCACAAGGCTACACGAGTTATCTCCCATTTGCACACGTTCCACACGCCCTTTCAAAATTACCCGCGGTTTTGACAGGAAACAGGAAGTAGTATCTAACGCGTGCGTGCAACGTGGCCTCCATCTTGTGTACGACGGAAGCTGTCAACATAAATCTGAGGCGTGTTTATCAACGTTCACTCCAGGTAAGTGAGAAAAGAAACCAGAGAGCGTCGTTTTATACGCATACAGCCACTACAACAGCTTCTTCCCAGATAATCAGTCAACGTATCATCGTCTGGCGAAAAAACCCCAAGGTGCGCAGTTTTTTGACATTTGCATTTAAAAATCTTGTAAAAGGATCCACAGGTACTAGGATACACAAGATACAAGAAGCGTTATTTAGTGTCATATATGGCATAACATTGAAACATTAGTTCTGTGGAGTTATTTTTTCGACAAACATCAGTATAAAAACCGAGTAATAACAGGTAAAAAGAATGCTAGTAGAAAAATTAGGATTATGCAGCAAAACTATACATTGAAACTACAAAAATAATCAGAAAACAATTTGATGATAGCACATGCATGTTAAGATGTAAATTGTATATATTACACAGCTCTTGAAAATAGACCTTTTGTGTCTGGACAAGTTATCTTGAGGAGAGGAGAAATGTACAGATATACCGGAATTCGGACCCGGGACCTCTGAAATCTAGGCGGACACTCAAATTAATTGAGCTACCTGGTTGTCGACGATCGACCCGCTCCGATCTTGCTACCTTTCTCCCTCAATTTTCTGTAATTTTGCTCCTTAGTATTAACTATTTGAATTTTGAAAAAAAAATGGTCCTACAAATGTAGGGACCACTGAAACCCGAGTAAAATATGCACAACCAGACCTTAGTCCGCTAATACTGACCATAATCGCACGTATCAAGTCGTTCCGTCCTCTCCCGGTCCGGCCCCCTACCCGGTCCGTCCTTAGTAGTTCCAGCCCCAAAGTCGTTCCGGCCTCACTATAGTGTTTTCCTTCACATATCACCATTAAACTTAAAAAATTTGCATTGTATTTATTGTACAAGTGTACAGGTTGTCGCCCTTAATCCAGACAATTTTTTGTGTATATATTTACATTCCCATTGATCCATTGATAAAAAGACAAGAAAAAAACATGATACATTATGTAATATTTAATGCAATCAACAATACAGAAGACGGGAGTTTAAAAACTTTTAACTAAAATATATGCTTAATGATCAAATATATCTAATAAATATAATCCATATATACCAGAGACGTATATAACACATATACGTCTCTGTATATACGTAATGGTATATATACCTAATTTATAACCGGACGTAATGATAAAATATATCTAATAAATAAAGCGTGGCCTATCGATCCTTTTGACTTTTAAGTGTTTTAAGGAAGAGGTTATAAATACGTTATAATTATAACTAATATATCTAATGGTAATATATATAACCAATGCGTAATCAATTATAACAATCTTAACAATAAAGATGATGCGTAATCAAACTTAAACCTATTCAAATTTCAAATAACTCTTTAAGCAATCAAAGTAATACAGTTTAGTCTATCGAAATATGCTCCATATATGACAACATTATTCTATTCAAGTTGCCGACTGTCTGTTTAGTTGAGATCATACAAATTTGCATCTTCAAACTTGGAAGATCGACAAAGATCGATTTTAACAAGATGTGACGACAAAAAGTTCAACGTCTTTCATCAACTAAAAGTGAAAACAACTTTGGTAGACTATTAACACTGCGTTTGCTAGAAGCCATACAGTTTCCAACGCACGAGGTAATAAGATAAACAAAAGACAGTGTCTTAAATAGGCAATCTTACTCCGTGTGCTTATATGTTTACACAGGTGCATTTTGTTTTAGACAACAAGTAAAATGAAAAGACAACAAATGAACAATATGATGTATGTTTTAATTTTTAATTTTATTTCTTTGAATTAGTAACATGAAATATCCATTATATAAATAAATTTAATTCCAAATTAACATGAATCATATATATAATATGAGTCCGGAACGACTAAGAATACGGGGCCGGAACTACTAAGGCCGGAACGACTAAGAATACAGGGCCGGAACTACTAAGGTCAGAACGACTATGGAAGGAACAACTTGGGGGCCGGAACGACCTGTATTCTAATTGCAGGCCCCAAAATTCTGATCAGTGGCCTGTTTATGGTCAGCTAACGACTGCTCTATAAAATGCTCTATAAAACACTCAGATTTGTTCCCAGAATTCTGTGACAGCTATTGTGAAAGTTTTACATGTTTTTTTAGAGAAATATTTAGACCTCCATTTCAGTTGATTAATTTCTAACTCACTTGACAAGATGCCATATCCCAACTCGATGTATTATGGAAGCTACATCGTTTAATTCAATTGAGGTGGTGTCGACTGAGCCAGACCGATATATGAATCAGAAGAAGAAACTAATCAGAAGTTTATTAGGGTGATGGCTTGCTCACAAGCTACTGAACTACATGTTCACTGGGCAAGGTGCAATGGGGTGCCAATGAAGCGAAAGTGGAAAAGTGTAAATTACAGATCGCAATTTGAATTTAAGTTAAATCTAAATGACACATTAATGTATGTAATTGAAAAATTTGGTTAGATTTTTGTGATCATCATCATGGGAAATGGCTTAAATGATGTGATTTAGCCTTCTTGACCATCATGATTAAGTGACTATTCACATTTTTTTCCTTTTTTATTACAGAGTGAAAAAGAGAGATATCTTCTGACAGGTTTCCAGTTGTATGAACAGACAAGTGGATTAACACCAAACTGACTCGTAATTAGTTTACCTGATAGTAAAAACGGAACAGTTTAATATGTGGTAGTCTGACACTCATCATCCACTAGTTACCATTGACAACACCAGGTAATTGGGCTTTTTATCTTAAAAATGCAATCAATTCTTTATAAAAAAAAATTCCAGACAGTAAATATATTGCCAATGTAAGTTACATGCAAAATTACAGATGTTTACTCTGTCCATTGATGGAACTATCAGAGATAGAAATATGTTTATTTAGTTATTACCTTTCAAAGTTAGCCCAAAAAGCTGTAACTGGTACAGGTATGCATTCAAACCTGAATAAATAAACTTCAAGAGGTGTACAGTTCCCTTAGCTAAATTTTATGTCCAGACTAGTGAACAATTTCAATATCTATTATAAAATTATTTGTTGGGATTTTTCGAAATCTCTTTATTTTAACATTTCAATTGAGATGTATGTTATATTTCGGCTATATTCCAATATTGTTTGAACTCACCTGGGGCCTAGGTTACCATCTATAATACTGAGCTAAGCAATTCTTGAAACGCTTATATTATGGTCACTAAGTAATTTGGTCAGAAAAATGTTTTCTGTTGTACAGCTGTAGAGAAATAGACAGGATTATTAGTATCATGTTCGCTGTTTTATGTTGTACAGCTGTAGAGAAATAGACAGGATTATTAGTATCATGTTCGCTGTTTTATGTTGTACAGCTGTAGAGAAATAGACAGGATTATTAGTATCATGTTCGCTGTTTTATGTTGTACAGCTGTAGAGAAATAGACAGGATTATTAGTATCATGTTCGCTGTTTTCTGTTGTACAGCTGTAGAGAAATAGACAGGATTATTAGTATCATGTTCACTGTTTTCTGTTGTACAGCTGTAGAGAAATAGACAGGATTATTAGTATCATGTTCACTGTTTTCTGTTGTACAGCTGTAGAGAAATAGACAGGATTATTAGTATCATGTTCACTGTTTTCTGTTGTACAGCTGTAGAGAAATAGACAGGATTATTAGTATCATGTTCACTGTTTTCTGTTGTACAGCTGTAGAGAAATAGACAGGATTATAAGTATCATGTTCGCTGTTTTGTGTTGTACAGCTGTAGAGAAATAGACAGGATTATTAGTATCATGTTCACTGTTTTCTGTTGTACAGCTGTAGAAAAATAGACAGGATTATTAGTATCATGTTCACTGTTTTCTGTTGTACAGCTGTAGAGATGGGAGCCAACAGTAGTAGTATGGGTGAGCTGGCCAATAACGACTACCTAAAACGTCTGGCCAGTAACACCCCCATCAACCCTATAGACCCGTTCTTGAACCAGCTACTATCTTACTCCTTCCTCATACCCATCAACAGGTGAGTCTAAATATAATCAACAGGTAAGTCTTAATGTAATCAACAGGTGTGTTTAAAACTAATACACGGGAAAGTCTAAATCTAGGCAACAGACAAGTTTAAATTTGATCAACAGGTCTAGGTATTTCTAGAACTAATGAACAGGTATCTGGAAATCTGATCAATAAGTAAGTTTAAATCCAATCAGTAAGATTAAATTCAGGAGACAACTTGAACAAATTAATGGCCTAGCAATGCTTCATTGCAAATTTTGAAGCAGTTTCAAACATAACTAAAGAAAATAAATTTCATATCATCATGTTTGATAGATTTCAGGGTATTGTATTGTTCTGTCTATGATGGCCATTATTATTTTTCAGTACTTACTGTAAACTTGAATTCTCTATTTCCACTTTTGTATTTTAGTGCTGATGGTAAACTTCTGGAGGAATCCACAGTGGGCATCTGTAAGACTCTAGCTATCAATAATGCCCGCTCAGGAAACTTCGGAGCACTAGTTCGAAACTTCCTTGTACGGGCAACGGAACTGAAGGCCTCGGCACAGTGTGAAGAGTAAGTTTTCAGTTATTTCCCATGGACTGGCACCAAATTTTAATCTATGCTAAAAAAAATTTTTTTATATATGTAACTTTTTTTGTATTTTAGTTTGAACAATCATACATAGACAACAATACACCTATTAGAAAATATTAAGATATAAAAAAACTAGATGCTCAAAAATGATCTTGCATTAAAAAATAACTGATCACATAGCAAAATGAATAATCTCAAAATAATAATGGCATATTTATAAATATGCAGGATGGATTTATCCTCCTTATGAAACTTGGGCGTTAATCCAACCCCATTTGACCTATTTCTTCCAAATTTTATTAAGGTAAACACTAAAATCAATTAAGGAAAAAAAAACTTTAAAATTATGTTAAGGAGAACAATTCACAATTTTTTTTTTTCATTTCAAAATATTTTATTAAATCAAATGATTCAATGGGAATTTGGCAACAGGCTATGCCTATACAAGCCCTCTCCCTTGGGTTACATACATTTCAAACAGGGAAGAGCGAAAAGTTGACTGGGCTAAAGTTTCCCTGTAAACTGTATGTGATATCCTCTACTTATTCTTAATTCATCTGTATTAAGATTTATGATTTCTGTTACAGTAACATCTTTACTTGGCAGACCTACAATGCCCTGTTTGTCATCAGAAGTCTGTGTAAATACTTCGTGGAACACCTCAGTGAAGAACTCATTCTACAACAGTTTGAGGCCAAACCTCCAGACATGGGAGGTAACTGATACTATAGGAGAATTTTTAGCGCAATTTAACATTGTTAAGCATGTGTTCAAATAAAAGCATGGCTTTTCTGTTATTTTTACACACAATGTTCAACCCTTGATCCGGGCTAGACATTAAGGGTAGCCCGAGAGTCTGAGACTACTCACTCAGACTAGTGATATCTCCAACTGAATTAGTGGTACTGAAAAACACTTACTCAATTGACAAATCAAAATTTGATATTGCTTATTTTGTTGAATAATATTGGGTAAGTGGAATTGTGCACACGGATCAGTAAAAATAGAATCTACTACCCCAGTTGACTAGTGGCAATCAGTATTAACTTCTAGCTCGGCTCTTAATGTAAAAAAAACTTGATATTTAGTTTTAAAACCATTAACATTAAAGGGGGTGGGGTTGAGCTTGAAAGACCTTAAATTTAAAGATAATTCCTATTTAAAGAGGAGCCCTTGATGTAGGGTTTTAGCTTGAAAAGCCTTCAGTACAAAATTAATTTTAGAAAAGAACTTCCATGTGAAACAATAGCCATAAGATGGAAATCTGTTTTATTGACCCTGAAATAGATTTCCATGAAAAATAGAATATTAGTGTTGACAGTGGGGGGATGTTACGTAAATGACATTAACGAAAACTGCTGAAAAATAAGACTAGTTAACTATAATCAGAAGGTGACCAGTGGAAAAATGGAGGTGTCAAACTATAATCAGATGGTGACCAGTGGAAAAATGGAGGTGTCGAAATTAATGGTGAATATGTTTCAGGTTACGCTGACCCTGAGGACATCGGACCACTGACAGAGGAACTGATGAACTCGCTGGTAGAACTCCTTGTTGATGTACCCGTCGTGTAAGTCAACACAACAAGCAGTGATGTAATAATGGGAGGTTCTGATATACCGCTTTATCACATCCTAGTTCGTAGGTCGTCTCAAAGCGGTTCACAAATTATTATCTGTGGTTATGCAGTTGGGTGTTAGAAAGTTTTGTCAAAATGACATCTGAAAGTGAAATGACATCTGAAAATTATAATTATCCCCCACTTTGTCTATCCCTCCTATAATTCTCATGAAGAAAAATTGTCGAGTCTATGTCTGGGTAACTGTAGGTGCTCCATGGATGATACTTGCATCAGTGATGTAGAAGGGTAGCTCTTCTAAACACATGTTGCTGATGCTGAGGTTTTTGACACATGCGTTAGGTAACGGAATTGCATGTTAGACACTAGCGCCACCATTTCCTTTTTTGGAATCTGATAACATTTCATTCACAAAATGGTGACGCAATTTTGTGGTTAGCCAGCGAATAGGTTGAGAAAGCATTTACTTTGATACTTTAACCCTTTCACCACTGTAGACCATAATGGACTCATCCAGATCAATGCATGGTAGAGTCTACTAAAGTTTCATATGGGTGAAAGGATTAACTAATTAGATCTATGTGAAAAATAGAACAATGCATGTAGATTGTATGTATAAAATTATTAAAAATATTCTAATATACTTCCTAATGAAACTCTGCTAAAAATGTGTGCTTCCTGCACTCTTCTGAGAAGTGAATGGTTTAAAAACAAACTTTTTTTTACAGGAGTTTTACGTATGCTCTCCACCTCGAGGCTCTAAACACACTGTTGGTGTTGCTGTCTCTACAAATGTTCCAGCCCCAACCTGCCTCCAAGTTCGTCTTATACAAATACATCATGCAGGGGCGATGGTAAGTTGTAAACATTAAAAAAATAATAAGTAAAAATGCAAAAGATAAGTCCAGATCATGAATATATAAGTAGAATTTATTTTTATTTTTGGTTTTACAATCCTATGGTCATTTAAGGACGAGTCAGATTTTGCTGTAGGAGCAAAACCTGAGTACCCGGAGGAAAACCACCAACCTGTGGCCAGTACCTGGCGACTGCCCCACGTAGTTCTCCACCCAGCGACCCAATGGTGGAGGGCTAGTGATCATGTCGTACACCTTAACCTAGTCCGAATTATTCTGACGTTTTATCGACTTTTTTTATATCGGTCTGTCGTCGATTAACGTCAGTACTCAGGCCCTCTATAATATGCAGGAAATATGCGACCCGCGCCCGGAGCGCACTTCAAACTGATATTTTAGAAACTAATCGTCAGAATAATTCGGACTAACCTTAACCACTTAGCCCACACGGGATGCACTTCTTATAGATAGATAACATAGGTGTCTAAAGTTATTGGTATAGTGGGCACCAGGAAAACAGTAATTGTAAACAGTTTGGGTTACTAACAAATAGTGCATCCCCCAATCCCCAAGTCATCCCTATGACCCACCCTATTGATGAGAATTGAAGTCCACGACTCTCATTTCCGTGTGAGTATAGACAATAGAATGTACTCGGTTACAGTTCTGTGTTTGAAAAAGTTACCACAAAAAATACAGAGATTGTCAAACTTGCAAATGAAATGTGTTATGAGAAAGAATTCTTGAGTCAAACTTACAAACAGCTCTCTTAGGAGAAAGAATTCTTGTATAATGTAAGGCTGAGTTTGTTAGTGTCTGGCATTAAAGTAGTGGAAACAATAGTGCAATGTTTGATCCCAAACAAAATAATCTGATCGTTATTGTTTTGTTGTTACAGTTCCATCCACGCCTGTCTGCTGGTCAAATCTCTGATCGTTATTGTTTTGTTGTTACAGTTCCATCCACGCCTGTCTGCTGGTCAAATCTCTGTTACGGAATTTTTCAATCCAAGAGAAGTGCCCGCCTGAATTATATAAACACACTGGTGACGGTAATAGTGTCATGGCTTCCGTCGCTGGTAAGCATCCTCGGCTGTAGCCTAGGGGGATCCCTCACATGTACCATTTTCTTAATTTAATTTTATTAAGCTCTAAAAAAAACTAAAAACAATCTCTAAATAAGTAAATTAAAATGTCTTGTCTCTGAAAAATTCAGTTGGTCTGTAAGAAATGTATATTACACAGACATAATGTGAATGGTGTGTTAATGTTAAACTTCCAGATCTCCCCAGCCATATAAGTGGTTGCATGGCCCTCACCTCCATAACTGGAATAAACATGAGGCAGTACCATATGAGCATTTTTCTAATCTGCAAGATATTTAACCTTTTCACCCCTATATAACTTCAGTAGACTCTACCATGCATTGATATGGATGAGTCCATTATGGTCTACAGTGGTGAAAGGGTTAATGTCATGTAAAAATAATTTTATAATTAATAATTTAATTCAATTTTATTTTTCAGCCAGTTTTTGGTCTGTGATGACACTAGGTATGGGAGGAGCCACAGAAAAGAAGGACGATGATTTCCATGAGACATTATTAGCCAATCAGAGCCTTTTATTTATGTTGGTGCTGACTAATCACTGTACGACAGATCACGGCATACACAACCCATACAGACAGGCATTGTTCGCCTTCACAAACTCACAAGGTAAGATAGAAGGGCGTTAAAACTTGTAACTTAAGGAATTATGCTACTGCGTAGAAAGTTGTTTGTGCTCCATTCCTGTGCTTTTTGCAAAAGTTAGTTTTACAAGATAGCACAGTCCTGATAATATTAGTAACACGCAACTTGTTATTGTTATAATATAACTTAAGGATCCCTGTACCGCTGCCAAAAACTAACTAAGTACTGGGAACTGTTTTATCTATCATGACTATAGCTTTGATCAATCATTTTTGAAAGGATAAATATGTGACCGGGCGGAATGCTGTGCTGGGATTGATAGGCATGGCATTTCAGTGAGATAGCACTATAAAATCAGCATCAGATCCGCGCTATCACAAGGAGGCAAGCCCCCCCCCCGCCCCCCCCCCCCCCCCCCAACATACCCTGTCTCCTGTATACACACACGCAAGCATGCATACACTACACACATGGAGGCACATCCTTAAATGACCTATGCTGTTAATGGGACGTTAAACAAAATTAAACCAAACTGATAGGAAAACTATACCTTACCGGACTTTTATGAGAGAAGAAAGAACAGATGAAATGAACAAAATATAATCAACAGCATTGTTCTGAGTGTAAAAATACAAGACCGGGATTCAAACCCTGAACTTCAAATTGTAATTTAAACTACTTTTTTGGTCAATGGAACTATCATGGCCAAACTGTGCTGTATATATTATATCCAAACGTAAGTTAAGGGGAGGTTACTGTGTAAAGGAAAAACCTCAGTGCAGTGGGACAGGGATCCTTACGGAAGGCAAGGGGAGGTTACTGTGTAAAGGAAGAACCTCAGTGCAGTGGGACAGGGATGCTTACGTAAGTTAAGGGTAGGTAACTGTATAAAGGAAATATCTCAGTGCAGTGGGACAGGGATCCTTACGGAAGGCAAGGGGAGGTTACTGTGTAAAGGAAAAACCTCAGTGCAGTGGGACAGGGATCCTTAATTCAAATAATACTGTTTCTGAGTTGTCATAGACTCTATAGTATTCAGAACATGCTCTAATGTATGTGTGACTTTTATATGTACTTCTGTTTACAGACCCGTCATCCTCAAGTCCTACCCAAACACCAGCCACATTCAAACTAGATTTCAGCCAATTATACGATGCCTTATGTGTTGCCCTTAGAGACGACCAATCAACACTGCTGTTATATTTGCTCATACACCGGAACACACTAATGAAAGCATTCATACTGTCGAGGACAAATATCGATCAACTGGTAAGTAGGATGTCCATAGAGTTATCATTGGTAATGGTTTATAGAAACAGGATGTCCATAGAGTTATCATTGGTAATGGTTTATAGAAACAGGATGTCCATAGAGTTATCATTGGTAATGGTTTATATCTTATATTTAGATTCTAGTCCCAAATATTTCATGCTTGGCAACTATTGGAAATTTCTATTGGGGAGATTACCTGTGCTCAGAATTAAAAGCATAGATCAAATGTGTGTATGTACACCCTAGGGGAAAATGAGTTTTAAATGGGATCTTTTGAAATGTTCTTTCAGATGAAATCATCGAATCTTAGACAATAGGAATGGTTTAGCAAATGTACTGGTTGGAAATGCTCAATTGTAGGGTCTAAAATCGGAAGTGTCCCTCCAAAATAGGGAAAGTTACAAAGTATGATATTTACATTTCCTTTGTACAGCCCTTGGATGGCCTGCCAACCCAAAATGTTGATATAAACCAATGAAAGTAAGAACTGTTGTTGCACATGAACATTTTCCGATCAGAATCTTTCTGAGTCATTTTGTCATACTATTCGAGCAATTGGGGACCAGTCATGACAATTGAAATTATGACAGAACTTTAGGAGTTACTGAATGGTTTCTGAATCTGAAACCATCTGATTGATGCTTGTTTCCTCAATAGAAAAAAGTGTCCGTTCTTCAAGTTGGTCAAACAGATATGAATGAATGAAAAGAAACTGAACAATTTTCTTTGTTGTTTAGCCCTTTCACCCCTAGGTAAATTTAGTGGACTCTACCATGCATTAATTAGGATGAGTCCATTATGGTCTACAGTGGTGAAGGGGTTAGAGTGTGATTGTAATGATTACAATACATCTTTATATTATGTATGATTGTATGTAACACACTTCAATCATGACACGTCTCCAAGATAAAACTGGCCTCTCTCTCAACCAAATGCAGGGTTTGGAATAATACATACTGTATATATGGAAATTTTCGCCCCGTAAAAAAAAATTGCCCTTTGCCAGGATAATCAATTTCCTCTCGGTGTTAATGTCCCCTTCACACTTAATTACTATGTATATTGTGTTGTTTACTGATGTTTGCTGCAATGATAAATTTGTCCTCATTATGGCAACAGAATAAGGCGAAAATTAAACTGCAGCGAAAATTTCCCAGTATACCATATATCTAGATAGGAACCTTCCAATTGTAACCTTTATCCTGTATGTAGTATTTCTCTGATCTTTACGCACTTCCTGTGACTCTACTTGCCAGGTGATGCCACTACTGAAGATCCTATACCACGCCCAGGATAGAAACTCCCACCACATATACATGGCTCTTATCATCCTCCTTATACTTAGTGAGGACGAAGTTTTCAACAAAGCTGTCCACGAAATCGTACGTATACATGTACAAACTCCCACCACCACATATACATGTACAAACTCCCACCACATATACATATACAAACTCCCACCACATATACATGTACAAACTCCCACCACATATACATGTACAAACTCCCACCACATTTACATGTACATACTCCCACCACATATACATGTACAAACTCCCACCACATATACATGTACAAACTCCCACCACATACATCTACAAACTCCCACCACATATACATGTACAAACTCCCACCACATATACATGTACAAACTCTATACATGTACAAATTCCACCCTACTGGTCTAAGGTAGTTCAGATTTATTCTTATGAAATGATGTGTTGAGCAAAAAATATTTTTATACTGTATTTTCAATAAACGTTAACTGGATAAGTGAAACTCGTTGAAGTATTTTCCGCTGTTAGAATGTGTGTTTGATACATTTATAACAATAAAAAGGTAAAGACATTTTACGCCCTGGCAACATAGTGGAGAGACATGTAGTGTTTTTCTTAGAAATGTTTCAACTTTCTGTTTTCAGAGGTAAGAAATAATATATTTGACCTTCTACTTGTAGGTGAAAAGGCATATGGTAGATTGTAGCAAATATCCCACCTTTGGCATTTCATTTGTAGCTATAATTAATATTATAATAAATAATAATAAAATATTTTATTTAAGGATTAACTTGAATATATTTTTCATGTTATGGAGATATAACACAAAAAAACGGAGTGTGCTCTAAATAAACCGCTTTACGGTTTATGATGAGAGTACACTCCTATTTTTGTGTTATAGCTCCATAACATGAAAAATATATTCAAGTTAATCCCTATAATTTAATCTACTATACACAATCCCTGTGGAAATCCACTTTTATTGATGGACTCTTTTCTCTTAGAAATTATTGCGCCGCTGTATCAACCAATCAAAAGCGACGTTACAAATGGCGATGCCATTTTTTTACGTTATGGGATGATAACATAAATTTTTAAGCCAATGGAAATGCTTGTTACAAGCAAGATTAAATTATTTAAGTGTCACACATATTTTACATAACACATCACTTACATAATAAAAATACACATATGCAAAATATCCCCAGCCATACTGACTTACGAGACACTACTTAAAATTTATATATATTAAAACATAGAATCCATTAATGATTCTCAATAAAAAGAACAATATATTACACTGTACATAACATAAAAATTGAATGTATGCTCGGGATCCGATGGTGGGAGAAGAGCGAGAGTGGTTGGGCCAATCCCTACCGACAAGTCGCCCCTCCCCCACCATCCGGACCTCGATGATTGGCAATTACTAGCACATCAAATACATATAAAATACATAATTAGAATTACTAAAATCATTAAAACTGAATTATAGTAAATGGTGAAAGGTTCGTTATGTTGCCTACTAGAAGCAATAATATGAACCATATATTACGAGGTATATAGTCACAAAAAATCTAAAATGCATATCAAGTTTTAAATACTACCACGTCTCCTTTTCATAAAAAGGAAAACTGACTTAGCTAAGATATATTCTATACATTAACATATCCTAGATTTTACTTTGTGTTTCCAGGTGATAAGAAATATTCCCTGGTTCAAAGAGAGGCCGATCTCTGAGATAACACTGGGCGGTCTGCTGATACTGGTGGTGATCAGAACGATACAGTACAACATGACTCGTATGAGGGTAAGTACTGATCACCAACATCAGCTACTTTGAACTTCCCTGATCTTACTGCTGAATTTCTCTATAGCAAAACGTCCTTAGAACTGTCCTGGTTTATATTGAGTACTGGTCCATTATCACATTGTATGGCATTGTTATTTTCAGAGTTAGGAGGGTTTTTTCTTCAATTATAGACAGTGATTCCGTCTTTGCGTATGGCAGAGTTATCTTCTCTTGAGAGCAGGTATTGATTGTTACGTCATTGATTTGTGTGAGAAAATTACGTCGTTTTTTCTAAAAATGATGACAGTACTCTCACAAATAAATGACATAACAATCAATATCTGCTCTCAAGAGAAGATAACTCTGCAATACGCATAGATGGAATAGCCATACTTTCAATCAGGGAAAGATATCTCTGTCTTACCCTAAGGTAAAGATGGGGGGATTCCCCTGTCAAAACAATTGTATGACGTCATTTCAATAGTGCATTGACGTCATATCAACACCCGGGGGTAAGATTCTTTGGCAAATCCTTGGGCTAGACATGTGAACCTTTGATATCCCTTAGGTTTAGATTTTTCTGTCTTTCCTCTAAGTTGGGGGGGAAAATTATATCAATCTTCCGTAGAAATGATTAGATTTTCCTGAAACTTGGTGAGGAAACATAATGCATCTATACCTTTAGTTTGATCTACAATATAATTAGCGCATATTTAATGAAAATGCTAAAAATATTTTAATCTGATTGGCTGAATGTTTCAAGATGATATCTTTGACAAAAATGATTGGAGTTTGATGTTTATGTCACAGTTATACTTTATAGTGACAAACAAGGGACATTATGTCATTGTTTTACTGTAGAGTAACAATGAGGGGCATTAAATTGTGGTTCTCCTGTAGAGTAACAATGAGGGACAGTAAATTGTGGTTCTCCTGTAGAGTAACAATGAGGGACATTAAATTGTGGTTCTCCTGTAGAGTAACAATGAGGGACAGTAAATTGTGGTTCTCCTGTAGAGTAACAATGAGGGACAGTAAATTGTGGTTCTCCTGTAGAGTAACAATGAGGGACAGTAAATTGTGGTTCTCCTGTAGAGTAACAATGAGGGACAGTAAATTGTGGTTCTCCTGTAGAGTAACAATGAGGGACAGTAAATTGTGGTTCTCCTGTAGAGTAACAATGAGGGACAGTAAATTGTGGTTCTCCTGTAGAGTAACAATGAGGGACAGTAAATTGTGGTTCTCCTGTAGAGTAACAATGAGGGACAGTAAATTGTGGTTCTCCTGTAGAGTAACAATGAGGGACAGTAAATTGTGGTTCTCCTGTAGAGTAACAATGAGGGACAGTAAATTGTGGTTCTCCTGTAGAGTAACAATGAGGGACAGTAAATTGTGGTTCTCCTGTAGAGTAACAATGAGGGACAGTAAATTGTGGTTCTCCTGTAGAGTAACAATGAGGGACAGTAAATTGTGGTTCTCCTGTAGAGTAACAATGAGGGACAGTAAATTGTGGTTCTCCTGTAGAGTAACAATGAGGGACAGTAAATTGTGGTTCTCCTGTAGAGTAACAATGAGGGACAGTAAATTGTGGTTCTCCTGTAGAGTAACAATGAGGGACAGTAAATTGTGGTTCTCCTGTAGAGTAACAATGAGGGACAGTAAATTGATGTGCTCCTGTAGAGTAACAATGAGGGACATTAAATTGTGGTTCTCCTGTAGAGTAACAATGAGGGACAGTAAATTGTGGTTCTTCTGTAGAGTAACAATGAGGGACATTAAATTGTGGTTCTCCTGTAGAGTAACAATGAGGGACAGTAAATTGTGGTTCTCCTGCAGAGTAACAATGAGGGGCATTAAATTGTTGTGCTCCTGTAGAGTAACAATGAGGGACATTAATTTGATGTGCTCCTGTAGAGTTAAAAAAGAGGAGTGTTATGTATGACTTTTTAGTGATAAATGTGGGGAGTTATATCAAAGTTTTCCATTCCATGTTTCTTCTCAAAAGTTCATCGCTCCATTATAATATCAATATAACAAGTTTTGTTTTTTTTAATTGTTAAGTAATTTGTTGTTTTTTGTTGAATTTTCAGGACAAATACCTGCACACAAATTGTCTGGCCGCCCTTGCTAACATGTCATCTCAATTTACCAACCTCCATCCTTATGTTGCCCAGAGACTAGTCAGGTAACAATCATGATGGCCTAATAGAGCTTTCCCCACCTTGAAGGTAGGACAGATAAAACTCAACAAAATGGGTAAGATTCTTAAATATCTAGCCCGGGGCTTTGCCAAGAACTAGACATTTAAAAATCTTTAAACCTTTACACTTGGGTAAGACAGAGATATCTTTCCTGCCTTTACACTTGGGTAAGACAGAGATGTCTTTCCTGCCTTTACACTTTGGTAAGACAGAGATATCCTTCCTGCCTTTACACTTGGGTAAGACAGAGATATCTTTCCTGCCTTTACACTTGGGTAAGACAGAGATATCTTTCCCGCCTTTACACTTGGTAAGACAGAGATATTTTTCCTGCCTTTACACTTTGATAAGACAGAGATATCTTTCCTGCCTTTACACTTGGGTAAGACAGAGATATTTTTCCCGCCTTTACACTTTGATAAGACAGAGATATCTTTCCTGCCTTTACCCTTGGGTAAGACAGAGATATCTTTCCTGCCTTTTCACTTTGGTAAGACAGAGATATCTTTCCCGCCTTTACACTCGGTAAGACAGAGATATTTTTCCTGCCTTTACCCTTTGATAAGACAGAGATATCTTTCCTGCCTTTACCCTTGGGTAAGACAGAGATATCTTTCCTGCCTTTTCACTTTGGTAAGACAGAGATATCTTTCCCGCCTTTACACTTGGATAAGACAGAGATATCTTTCCCGCCGTTACACTTGGGTAAGACACAGATATCTTTCCTGCCTTTACACTTGGGTAAGGCAGAGATATCTTTCCTGCCTTTACACTTGGGTAAGACAGAGCTATCTTTCCTGCCTTTTCACTTTGGTAAGACAGAGATATCTTTCCAGCCTTTACACTTGGGTAAGACAGAGATATCTTTCCTGCCTTTTCACTTGGGGAAGACAGAGATATCTTTCCCGCCTTTACACTCGGTAAGACAGAGATATTTTTCCTGCCTTTACACTTTGATAAGAGAGAGATATCTTTCCTGCCTTTACACTTGGGTGAGACAGAGATATCTTTCCTGCCTTTACTCTTGGGTAAGTCAGATATCTTTCCTGCCTTTACACTTGGGTAAGACAGAGAAATCTTTCCTGCCTTTACACTTGGGTAAGACAGAGAAATCTTTCCTGCCTTTACACTTGGGTAAGACAGAGCTATCTTTCCTGCCTTTTCACTTTGGTAAGACAGAGATATCTTTCCAGCCTTTACACTTGGGTAAGACAGAGATATCTTTCCTGCCTTTTCACTTGGGGAAGACAGAGATATCTTTCCCGCCTTTACACTTGGGTGAGACAGAGATAATTTTCTCGCCTTTACGCTTGGGTAAGCCAGAGATATCTTTCCTGCCTTTACACTTGGGTGAGACAGAGATAATTTTCTCGCCTTTACACTTGGGTAAGACAGAGATATCTTTACTGCCTTTACACTTGGGTAAGACAGAGATATCTTTACTGCCTTTACACTTTGGTAAGACAGAGATATCCTTCCTGCCTTTACACTTGGGTAAGACAGAGATGTCTTTCCTGCCTTTACACTTTGGTAAGACAGAGATATCCTTCCTGCCTTTACACTTGGGTAAGACAGAGAAATCTTTCCTGCCTTTACACTTGGGTAAGACAGAGATATCTTTCCTGCCTTTTCACTTTGGTAAGACAGAGATATCTTTCCCGCCTTTACACTTGGGTAAGACAGAAATATCTTTCCCGCCTTTACACTTGGGTAAGACTGAGATATCTTTCCCGCCTTTACACTTGGGTAAGACAGAAATATCTTTCCCGCCTTTACACTTGGGTAAGACTGAGATATCTTTCCCGCCTTTACACTTGGGTAAGACACAGATATCATATCCTTCCTGCCTTTACACTTGGTTAAGACAGAGGTATCTTTCCCGCCTTTACCCTTGGGTAAGACAGAAATATCTTCCCCGTCTTTACACTTGGGTAAGCCTGAGATATCTTTCCCGCCGTTACACTTGGGTAAGACTGCGATATCTTTCCCGCCTTTACACTTGGTAAGACAGAGATATTTTTTCCGCCTTTACACTTGGGTGAGACAGAGATATCTTTTCCGCCTTTACACTTGGGTAAGACACAGATATCTTTCCTGCCTTTACACTTGGGTAAGACAGAGATATCTTTCCCGCCGTTACACTTGGGTAAGACACAGATATCATATCCTTCCTGCCTTTACACTTGGGTAAGACAGAGATATTTTTCCCGCCTTTACACTTGGGTGAGACAGAGATAATTTTCTCGCCTTTACACTTGGGTAAGACAGAGATATCTTTCCTGCCTTTACACTTGGTAAGACAGAGATATCTTTCCTGCCTTTACACTTGGTAAGACAGAGATATCTTTCCTGCCTTTACACTTGGTAAGACAGAGATATCTTTCCCGCCTTTACACTTGGATAAGACAGAGATATCTTTCCCGCCGTTACACTTGGGTAAGACGGAGACATCTTTCCCTGGCCAGAAGCGTGGGTATCTCTGTCTAATGGGAGAGAAGTAAAAATCAAACCTGTATAAGGGGAAATTTCACTGTGTTTTTACAGTGTGAATCAAGTGGTTCCCTGCTCAGAAGTGTGGACATCTCTGTCTAGTGGGAGAGTAGTAAAAATCAAACCTGTATAAGGGGAAATTTCACTGTGTTTTTACAGTATGAATCAAGTGGAATAATGAATATTAAATACAGCAAATATAAACAACTTATCTCACTCATACTTACCAGCCTTTCAAACTGTTGTATATTTTGCAGCTGTTTAACTTTCACCTTTTTCGTCAACCATGATGAATTCAAATTTATCTTTACAACGAACATTAGTAAACAACATAACAAACCCTGATAAAATATGAAAATATCTAAATAGCATGTACAGTGGCTTGTTTGTCAAATAACAGGAAAATCTACCTAATACAAAATTAAACCCCCCAAAAAAAGAAAATTTAGGTGTGGAAATACCAATTTCCTCAAATTGAGGAGTTTTGGCACCTTAGACACATTGTGCCGGACACCAAACTGGAATTAAATTTTGGATTTTTTTCCTACAGTTTGTTTTCCCAATTGTGTAAAAAGCACTCCCGCATCATTGAGCAAATACGACAGGCCGCTATGGAACCTGCGGGGTCGGGAGAGGCTGAGGGTGGCGCAGAGAAAGAGGATCACGAGGAGGAGCCAGACCCGGAACAGGATTATGTAAGTAGGGAAGGAGCCACAGCGTAGTGGGATATTAAAGGGAAAGGAACTAAGTCGGGCAAATATAGGAAGTCTGAAAGAAAAGATTGGTTTTGTTTGTGTTTTACGTTCTATAAACAGCTATATGGTCATTTAAGGACGTGTCAGGTTTTGGTGGTGGAGAAAAGCTGGAGCTCTCGGAGAAAAACCATCGACCTATGGCCAGGAGCTGGCGACTGCCTCACGTAGGCCTCAAACCTGTGACCCAGTGGTGGAGGGCTGGTGGTAGCAGCATGTCAGAATTTACCACTTGGCCACCGCTGCCCCTGAAAGAAAAGAAATAACAAGAGAAATTGGATTGATATCAGTTACGGGAGAAGACCAATGTAAATGTAATTGGGGGCTATAGGAAGGACCAATGGAACTGTAATTAGGGGCTATAGGAGGGACCAATGGAACTGTAATTGGGGGCTTTAGGAAAGACCAATGGAAATGTAGTTAGGGGCTTTAGGAAGGACCAATGGAAATGTAGTTGGGGGGGCTATAGGAAGGACCAATGGAAATGTAGTTGGGGGCTTTAGGAAGGACCAATGGAAATGTAGTTGGGGGCTATAGGAAGGACCAATGTAAATGTAATGGGGGGCTATAGGAAGGACCAATGGAAATGTAGTTGGGGGCTATAGGAAGGACCAATGGAAATGTAGTTGGGGGCTATAGGAAGGACCAATGGAAATGTAGTTGGGGGCTATAGGAAGGACCAATGGAAATGTAGTTGGGGGCTATAGGAAGGACCAATGGAAATGTAGTTGGGGGCTATAGGAAGGACCAATGGAAATGTAGTTGGGGGCTATAGGAAGGACCAATGGAAATGTAGTTGGGGGCTATAGGAAGGACCAATGGAAATGTAGTTGGGGGCTATAGGAAGGACCAATGGAAATGTAGTTGGGGGCTATAGGAAGGACCAATGGAAATGTAGTTGGGGGCTATAGGAAGGACCAATGGNGGGGGGGTGGGGGGAGGATGAGGATATGTTTACTTAGCTTTCCTTGTTCCATACCTCAATGTATTACAATGTCTTCTGTGAAATGGAACAGGACTTGTTCAAACGTTATGGGCAGCCTGTTTTTAATCTGTCTTCAGAAACAAATTTTTCATATATGATTGTTATCTGTTGTAGATGCAGGACCTTGCTGTACTGGAGGAGGTGCTAAGGATGATGTTAGAGATACTAAACTCCTGTCTGTCAAGTTCCCTCCATCACAACCCTAACCTGGTCTACACTCTCCTCTATAGGAAGGAGCTGTTCGCCCAGTTCAGGACGCATCCCACCTTCCAGGACATCATACAGAACGTTGACACGGTAGATTGGAGTTATGTTGATAGGTTTATTTGGAGACACAGTAGTCTAGTGGTAGAACGTGGGGCTCGTGACAGAAGGGTTGCGGGTTCGCGTCACGTCACGGCACTGTGTTCTATCTTTGAGCAAGATACTTTACTCCGCTTGTTCCAGTCTACTCAGTTGTAAATGAGTATGTGGTTGGGCAGTGCTAGAATTGTAGAAAGCTAGCTGTGAGCATCGAAATGGCAGCACCGGCTATATGCTCCTCAGGGAGTTGAGAAAGATATTGGGTGGTTGCAAAGGCCCCATAACCACGGATAATAATTTGTGAACCGCTTTGAGACGACCTACGAACTAGGTCGTGATAAAACGGTATATAAGAACCACAAATTATTATTGATTATTATTGATTATATTTACATTAATAAACAACAATGTTTTATAAAAGTTTAACGAGAGGGAAGCCAAAGTCAACAGTTCTCTACTTCGGGTGAAAATATGTCACTCTCACTCGAAAGCAGCATTTATTTTATTATGCCGAGTGTTAGGATTGGCCAATAGATAACTCATTCACCTTTCACCAAGACGCTCCAGCGGCACGATCAGATGTGAAAAAGTATTGGGTCACTGCCCAACCATGTTTTCCCATTAAGGCCTTCTGTGTGATTCCTACAGGCCAACAAGAGTTATTAATATATGATTGAAAATTTGTTTCATAATTGTTGTAAAATAAATAAAGTTAATATATAGTGTCATGATTCTTCCATTTTTTGTCTGTTCGACACTTGGTGTAATAAAAATCAATATCATACAGATGCTTCAACATACTTAGAAGCATAAAACGTTTCAGTGAAGTGGTCATAGAGACAAACTGTTTTGGAATGTTGGCCTGGCATGTACAAGCATTCATATTCCTTGCAAAACAACTTCAAACAAGTTGGAAAAATTGAACATTTTCATACATTTTTATAAATTGTGTTTATTATACAGACTGTAGGTTATAAGGTATACTAAATGGTGTTTATTATACAGACTCTAGGCTATAAGGTATAATAAATTGTGTTTATTTGTATCACAGGTACTCTCCTTCTTTAATACAAAACTAGAACAAAATGGCCACAAAGCTAACGTGTCCCCGGCTGAAGTGTTGGAGCTGATCAAAGACGGCTCCAAACAATTCCGAAGAGACCACTTACGGGTAAGGTAGCCGCAGCTTTACCTGTAACAAATGTCGTAAAACAATTTTGCCTTTTTGTTGCGGTTGATGGTGTCAGAGATTTTTACTTTAACTCTTGTTCACAAAATTATTCCTGTATTTGTGGAGCCAGTAAAACTCTTATTTGTAACGGTATAATCACACCAATGCATATCTCCCCGTTCTATTAAAGAAGTTTACAACCCTAAAATAATGATGATTTAAGGTTATTTTTTAACAATTTGTAGAAATCGGGGTAACCGCCATGGAATAATGACATCGTTAACTTTCAAAGTGAAGCAGACTTACATTGATCTTTTGGTGTCACGCTTTTTGTGAAATCATAAACAATCAATATCATGATGCGTAGTCGGAGTCACTTAAGTCATTATCTGGGCTTCATATGCCAATAAGCAATTTACAGATTCTAAACTGTGGTTATATGGCAGCAAATCTTTTCAATTTACCAATTCAATTGCTGTGTAACATCTGGAATGAACTGAGATAAGTATGGACAGAATAAAGTTATACAATCTTTTGCCTTATTTACGGCTCAAATTGGTGAGGGGCCCTAAAACAATACAAAATACAAATAACTTTGATAACAGAATTTTGTTTGCTTCTCTTACAGAAATTCCCGGATCTGAAGTTTAAATATGTAGAAGAGGAATCGCCAGAGGAATTCTTCATCCCCTACATCTGGTCCCTAGTCTATCACTCATCAAACATGTACTTCAACGCCTCCCGCATCGTCCTCTTCTCGCTCACATCTTCATGATGAAAGCCATGTGACTCAAGTCGAGGTCATGATTATTACTGAATGACAAAGGTCAAGGTCATATGACAGTTACATGACTAAGGTCAAGATCATATGACAGTGACATGACTAAGGTCAAGCTTACAACTGCAGATGAACTACATTCAAGATCATGATTACTGGATTGTAGTCAAGGTCATGTTGACACTATCTGGTCTGTGATCAAAATCCCCCAGAGTACTGTTGTCATGGTTACCAGTGCCACAGGACCAGGTTTAAATGCATGGTTATTGATATGGGCCACTTCTGGACTGTGTGTCATAATGACGGTCACAAGACTAAAGTCAAGATAATGATTGTGATTACCAGGCTATGATCACCATCCTGTCAACTCTGTATGGGCTACGGACATTATCATAATGATCTCTACAGGGCTATAGCAGAGGTCATAGTGACTGCTACAAAATCATGGTCATTTTTGATCTTGTGAATTATTCTAAATAGAATCAAGGTCATATTGTTACTGTGAGACTTAGTCAAGGTCATGATGATCACTGAGACTAGGTCAAGGTCATGATCACTGAGATTAGGTCAAGGTCATGATGATCACTGTGAGACAAGGTCAAGGTTATTTTATGTAATACATATCTGTGTTAGATATTTGTCCCAAGTAACAGTACAGAGAGAATTTCAAAATATATGTTCAGTGTGAGTTAAAAGATAAGGATTTTTTTACTGTATAGTTGTTTAATTCCACAGGGATAATACCTTGCTATCGTCCTTATCAGAACTAGTTCACGGGGATTCAATTTGTACAACACTGCCTCTTCAAAAATATTCAGAGATTTTAAATCACGATTTTAATATTCACCAGATATTTAACTTCACACTATCATTGATGGCCACCAATATAGCGAAAGTAAAACCCCTGTGAATATTACCAAGTATAGAGAAGCTCTCGAAGAGTGTTCCTCATAATGTTTTGTAGTTTGAATAGTTAATGGTGAATGTATTTATAGCCAACATATTAACCCTTTTACCCCTAGGTAACTTTAGTAGACTCTACCATACATTTATCTGGGCGAGTCCATTATGGTCTACAGTGGTGCCTATGTAACTTTAGTAGACTCTACCGTACATTTATCTGGGTGAGTCCATTACGGTCTACAGTGGTGAAAGGGTTAACACTGAAAGCATTTTGTTGGTGTGGTGAAACATTCAATTATGAAATATAGAATTTTGGGAATGTTTGTATCCGATTATATTTATAAATAATATGCTTGTGAAATTGTTAAATATCATTTTTATGTAAAATTCTAATTATTCTTCCAGAAAGGCATTGAGTTCTATATTCCTGATGATGGCTTGTAATCAACGATGTAAGATTGGACATATCATGTTAAAATGAAAACATCTGTGACTGTATTCATAAAACTATTCTCATACTCAGACTTGGTGCTCAAGCTCAATCTGGAATTAAAGTGAGAACATAGTGTTAACCCTTTCACCACTGTAGACCATCATAGACTCCTCCAGATCAATGCATGGTAGAGTCTACTAAAGTTACATAGGGATGAAAGGGTTAAAATTCATACTCAGATTTTTGCTCGATATAAACTTTATGTGAGAAAATAATCTTTTTAAATGTTAGATTACCGGTAATGTGTTGGGAGTACATATCCTAAACTTGTATCTGAGTATCATAACATCTGACATTTACTTTTGATCGTGTCTAAGAAAATTGGCGAGTTAGATTAAAACAAATTTGAGCAAATAATTTTAGTTTGAGTGTGATAACAGTTTTATAGATACAGACTCTGTTTAGTCCCTTTGTGAGGGAAAAATTGGCAATAAAATAATTGAAAATATATTATATTTAATATAATGTACCTATGGTGTTGAAGCTTTCAACATTACATGATATATATATGTATATACTAGACACAAGAACACACTTGTAAAAAGATTTATAAAATAGAATTAATGATTGTCTTGATCTGTGATATTGCCATATCAAATTTCGGATATGAAAACTGAATAAATAGATTTAAGGGGTAGATTTAATGGTGTGGTTAAAAATAACCATGATTTACCCAAAATCGCAAGACATTATTTATCGTAAGTAAGTTACACTGAAATATGTCTAAACTCGACACAACTCAAACTGATACTTCCTATCAAAATCATTTTATAGGATTCAGACAAAAGATTTCATTTCAAGTCTTCAAAATGCCAGGAGTTGCTCTCACTTAAGTTCCCTGCACCCCTGGAATATGTCATGATGGTAAAATCAAAGGTTAGCTATTTGATTGGTTTCAGTTAAAAAACCCGACCAACCCTAGGCTGATACCTGACCTTTGAAGATTACAGAGGACTGTAAAGATTGTAAAACTGTAATTTTACCATTACACTGCGCTGCACATCATAGGATCAAACTAGCTTACCATTATCATCCAAAAGACGGCATGTACAAACTTACGATAGCCTTCGTTTTTACCCTTTCACCCCTATGTTACTTTAGTAAACTCTTCTATGCATTGATCTGGATTAGTCTATTTTGATTTACAGTGGTGAAAGGGTTCAAATTGTTTGTACCATGAAAAAGCTAGTCTGACTTTTATCATGTACCAAATGGTAAGATCTTTTGTTATCTATGATAAAAGGACGGAGGTTTTTTATGTTTGTCTGTCTTTACTCCTAAAAATGTTTCATTTATTGTATCTAAAAGAAAACAAGTCTGTCAAGTGTCAACATATTAAAACTATAGGTTTTCTTTGTCGACATATTAAAACTAAAGGTTTTCTTTGTGCACATATTAAAACTACAGGTTTTCTTTGTGAACCCATAACCACGGATAATAATCTCAATGGACATATTAAAACTAAAGGTTTTCTTTGTGCACATATTAAAACTACAGGTTTTCTTTGTGAACATATGAAAACTACAGGTTTTCTTTGTCGACATATTAAAACTACAGGTTTTCTTTGTATGTGTATTTAAACTTTATATTTGTATGTCCCAGGTCATTTCACCCAAACAAAACCACTTTTTTTACAATTTTTTTTTTTTTTTTTTTTTATATTTGTCCGAGTACATGTTAATTGAGGAATGTTTATATTTTTTGTTGTCTTTCAAGCCGTGTTTATGAGTAATTACTAGGATATCCTCATGAACTTCACTGTATTTCATAAGATGGGTATTCCAGCTTAGTCTGGGAGGCAAGTAGATTGTTAATTTGAATATATTTCAAGAAATTTATTTATGCACATTTAAATAATGGAGAGACAGCCTTTGTTATTTCATTCGCAAAATTAAAATAAGTATGAAAGGAAGAATTCATACAGTAAATTAAATGTGTATCACTACTTTATCAAAATATTTCATTGAAAATATCATGGTCATTTTGTAAAAAAAAAATTGTATTTAATGTGTACATAATAGAAATATACCTGTCTGTGTAACATTACTGTACATATTAGGTAAAACAGAACTGTGTATAAATTATACATAACTTTTACCTGGTGAGGAGGTTCATAAACCAAATATGTGTCATATATTGTAAATATGACAGTCTGATAATCAGGTGATTAGAAACATACCATCATTCATTTTATTCTGAATATTTTATTCTCCATCAAATTAATATTTTGAAGGAATTTTGTAAGAATACTGCAAGTTGTGAGAATATTTGAAAATATATGAGAGCATTTTTATGAACAAAGAATTTGTAGTGAGTTTCAAAGTTATGGGCGACCCTGATACGTTGTTCATCTGTTTTAGGTTCCAAACTTATTTTTTATCTTTCCAACCTTTTAAATTGTTCATGGGGGATTAGCTGTCTGAACTGTAACTGGGATGTATTTTGAACTTTTAAAGTATGATGTACTAAATAAAAGTAAAAAGGTTCAGACCTTGGGGCTAGCTACTGTTTCCACAGCTAATGGGCGAAGAATTTTGACAAAATTAAAAATGTCTTTAAAATAGTTACAACGATCTCAATTTGACAAAATAATAACAAAAATATGTTAAATGTTTTATGCAATGATAAGTTGAATTTCAGCTAAAAGGAAATTGGTAGGAGTTCTGCTGGTTTCAAAAGTAAAAAATGATTTTTTATAAAGTCCTGAGTTTCACTCCAGGAGAGGGAGACTTCACAAGTAAGCGTTTATGAACCATATTTATCCAGCAATAAGCCCATGCCTGGTAATAAGCCCACCCATATATATATTGCATTTTAGTAAAAGTGCCAACAAATTTTATTTCACTAATAATAAGCCCCCACTCTCCTCCTACCTTTGGTAAGATATTGTGTGTTGGTGCCCTGGGCTTATTGCAGGATAATTATGGTACTGACGTTTATCACTGCCTGTAAGCTTGTGTTATACACACACCTATAATCCTGCATAATTTATAACATTGTACAACTTGTTTACAAAATATATTATATATATTGTTCTTTAAGCATTTATGTGGGTTTGACATTTTTCTATGGTTGTAATTTCATCTCTCTCTGTGTTTATGTTTAAATGTACACTGTATAAACAGGTAAGCCTTGGCTCACAGACCACACTCGAGAGTTACATAAAATTGTGTCTAAATACAGATTAGATAAGCATGAAAATAACTGCTTCGGGGAGTTTGAAAGTGGTCTCTTAACACAGGTGATCTCTGTTGAGTTGGCATAAAAATAACTGTAAAATGCTTTACAGTACATAGATATACATAGATATACAATTAATACAATTAGCGTATATACATTAATCAATACAATTTTTAGGAATTCGCAGGAGCTGCCTTATTAGGCACTAACTACTAGTCCTATGCCACTTGGCTAATATCTCCCTATGTGTGTATGTCTGCGTGTGTGCTGGAGATGTATTGTATTCTGTTTGTAGTGGGACCGTGCTTCCAACAGCATCATTTATAGTGCCACCTCACTTGAATGCTACAGCATAGATACCGCAACATACACCCCAGACCAATGTATACTCCACCTGGGTTGTTGGAGTTGTGTGGGCAGGGAAAAAAACAGTTTCTCTGAATATTCCATGTGTACAATGACTTTGTGGATACCAAGAATGGGGTTTATTGCTGAAGAAATTGGAAAGTTACTTTATGGAAATGTTAAAATGTGTGCTGAATCATACTTTGTTTAAACTCTGTATTGAGGTATGGTACTTCAAACTTGTTCAAATTACAAGCTTGAAAGACAACTGTTGTATCTATTTAGAAGGATCCTATTAAGGAAGAAGGGAGGTCTCATTTTAGGGGAAAAAGTTTGAGGATATTTTGAATTTTTCTGCTGGAATTTCTACTCAGTAATGTGTATAGAAATGATGTCAGAATGAGGACTGAAGAAATGTAATATTGTGATGCCTGTAGACTTAGGTTGGTGTACCTCGTCATATCAGGTATTAACTCATTCACCCCTAAAGACATATTTAAACTCTTTCAATTTAAAGGTTGGAATAATTCATTATGAAATTTCAATGGTGAATGACTTAAGGCAAATAAATAGTTGTGTATGTTTCAGGTAACATGGCTGAAAAAAAATAGAGTAGGTCGGTCGGCAGTTGCGTTGTTTGTTTGTCCATGAATTTGTTTACATCCAGTGTACAAGTTATCCCGGATGCGTTGGTGGGGTTGGTCGGTGTACCTGAAACATACATTTTTTTTTGGGGGGGGGGGGGGCTAATGAGGAAACTTGGTGTAATGTATGCCAACATATCTCATCACAAAATTTCTCCCATACTCTGTATCACTGTTTTTTTATGTACTTCATTACCAGAAATGTATGTCGATCAAGGATAGTTGCTTAAATGATTAGTTCCTAAAATAAAATGGGTTATGTCCCTTTCTGTGTTCTAATCTATGTATTAAGTATATTTTTCTGAAATATTTAGAATTTAAACTTGTTTAACAAAATATATCTAAAAAATTATCAGTTGAGTCTATGGTTTATTTGTTAGGATAACAAATTGAGAGTTTTGTTTTTACTAATACAATTAATTTATAAAATATATATTCTGTTTACCCTACAAGTAGCATTAGACTGGTCCACTTTTATAGAATGGCCGTTCTATTGTGGATTTCTAGGGGTAAGATTGATTCAGGATGGTGTTTCAATAGCTGTTTGCAGCAAACACAGACCTTGTTTATGAGGTCTGACTTTTGTGTGGCTATTCGGAATGCCTTGTCTGATATTCCTCATCAAGGTGATGGGAACTGAAGATGTTCAAGGTGTTCCAAATGGTGTATTAAGGTATGTCTAGATATCTTTTGATCTGTTTGTCAAAGTGATTGAGTCAGAAGGTCAAGGACAGACTCGGGGTCAGAGGTTAACTATTGTCTGTTTTGTTGGTTATATATATTTATAGATAAATATTTAATTTAATTGTTTACATGAACTTATGTACAGATTTTCATTTAAGGTCACAGAGGTTACAGAAAGTCTGTGATTTCTATCATTACATGCCAATAAAGAGGGTTGACCTAAGCTAAATGTTTGTAATACTTTTGTTATACTGTAGCTACCATGCTTGTTGTTTCATGTTTCCATAGTTGAGAGGAGTTTTAACCGTAACTATTGACTCTGACCAGACTCGATCACCAAACGTTGGCGGCACGGTCGGGCACTAGCCATCTGAGCAGTTACACAAAAATGTGAAATTGAAACATTGAAATCTATATATTCAGGCTCATTGGTGAAAATTTTACTACCGGGGTTAGCAGAATAATTTATATATAGTATAATGCATGGAGTAGTTTCAAATAAGAAAATTGGTTGGCCCAAACCCTAGAAACACCAGGATCTCCCACTCCGCCCCGGCCACAAGAAAACACAGATTCTCAAATGAAAGTCAGGTTAGAGATGTATCGGTTTCCTTACTCAACACATCTGTTTGAAGATAACTTCTAGAAAATGGGAACGGGAACACCTGGACCGGGAGTTGCCACTCCAACATTGTTAGAGGTTTACACAACGAGATACTTTTGACAGGCGGCAGTCGGCAAAATCATATCCGATAGAAAAAAGGCCGACCTGCGGCCTCTTATATTATAGGAGTACCCCAGCCCCCCTGCTTAGACTGATTGAATAAATGATATTCCTTGGCCCATTTTCTTGCTCCTGTGAAAAATCAATATTTATTTTTAGCTCACCTGGCACAAAGTGCCAAGTGAGCTTATACCGTGGCGCGGCATCCGTCGTCCATCCGTCCGGCGTCAATATTTTACTTTAAACAACTTCTTTTTAATAACCGAAAGACATAGGGTGATGATATTTGGCCAGAAGCAAACTGGGATGAAGGGCTACAAAGATTGTTAAAATCAATGACCTTCACCCATTTTCAAGGTCACAGGGGTCAAATATGTTAAAAACTTTAAACATCTTCTCAATAACCAAACTGCCCATGGAGATGATATTTGGCCAGTAGCATGCTTGGGTGAAGGGCTACCAAGTTTGTTCAAATGAATGACCTCCACTTATATTCAAGGTCACAGGGGTCAAATATGTTAATAACATTAAACAACTTCTGAATAACCAAAATGCATAGGGTGATGATATTTGGCCAGTAGCATGCTAGGGTAAAGGGCTATCAAGTTTGTTCAAATGAATGACCTTCTCGTATATTCAAGGTCACAGGGGTCAAATATGTGAAAAACATTTAACAACTTCTGAATAACCAAAATGCACAGGGTGATGATATTTGGCCAGTAGCATGCTGAGATGGAGGGCTACAAAGTTTGTTCAAATGCATTACCTTCACCCATATTCAAGGTCACAGGGGTCAAATATGTTAAAAACTTTAAACATCTTCTCAATAACCAAACTGCCCATGGAGATGATATTTGGCCAGTAGCATGCTTGGGTGAAGGGCTACCAAGTTTGTTCAAATGAATGACCTCCACTTATATTCAAGGTCACAGGGGTCAAATCTGTTTAAAATCTTTAAACGACCTCTTCTGAATAACCATGGGTCCCAGGATGTTGATACTTTGCAAGTTGCATCCTGAGATGAAAGGCTATAGAATTTGTTCAACATAATGACTTTGTTTGACTTTCAATCACAAGGGTGAAATGTTTTAAAAAAATATAACAGATTCTTTTGAATGAATTTTAATCATAAATACTGATATTTTGCCTGTAGCTTTATTTTAGATCACGTTAAAGGTTACAAGCATGAGATTTATACCAGGTGGGCGATGCAGGCCCATTGGGCCTCTTGTTTTAAATCATCTGATTTGGAAGAATTTAGGAGTACTGTTTTCTATGCTTACACTCGACTTTTGACCAGGTCACATGATTTAAAACATTACAAGAAAATAGGTCTGAGCACGGATTGTCCAGGCTTGAGCATGAGAACAGTTTCATGAATAAGGGCCCAGGTGTGTAACAATGGCCGATGTGTTGAAATCCTTCTTACAAGAAAGCCAGTGTGTTGGTAGTCTAAATTAACAAGAAAGCCAGTGTGTTGGTAGTCTAAATTAACAAGAAAGCCAGTGTAATGGTAGTCTAAATTAACAAGAAAGCCAGTGTGTTGGTAGTCTAAATTAACAAGAAAGCCAGTGTGTTAGTAGTCTAAATTAACAAGAAAGCCAGTGTATTGGTAGTCTAAATTAAATTCAACAATGTTCTTTACTTCAAACGTATTTCTGATCTGTCCTAGGCTGTTAATCCATTCACCCCTATGTAACTTCAATAAACTCTACCAAGCATTGATCTGGATAGGTCCATTATGGTCTACAGTGGTGAAAGGGTTAAATTGATCATTGATGCTGTTCAGGGTTTCAACTGTTTCAAGGCAAATTTTTAAGATTCCTGCAAGTTTTACAAAATTTTGAAAAGGTCATTGAGGGCATTTCAGAAAGAGGAACAAATGATCCTGCAATAATGTTTGCTGTTCAAAGCCTCAACAATCTATATCCTAGGAAGGAAGAGGGAGATATGTATTACCCAAGCTCCCACAAACCAACACTCACCACCTTGGCAATCCACTTGGTTGGTGTTAATTTAATCAAAACACATACTAAATTGGAACTAATTAACCTTATTTGACTAAGTTAACTCATTTACACCTGAAATTTCGTGATGAACTATTCCAATCTCTGAATTGGAAGAGTTCAAATATGTCTTTAGGGGTGAATGAATTAAAAAGTCTCTATACCTATCTAAGTTAAATCCAGCCTCTATGTTTATCTATGCCCAGTACGGAAATGGGTGCATCCTATCTTCCTTCACAAAACTACTTCTCATGAAGGGCTGCTTGAATTTTAATCCAATTTTGCAATTAACACTGATGACATTACTCCAGAAAGTGTAAAAATATGTGATTTAATCTTCAAAGTCTTCTTATCCTGAAGGAATAGACAGATTTTGTCAGAAATATCAATTTAATTGGTAGGGCAAAACAGAAATTGATTCAATTAATCTTTAAAAACTCCTCCTCCTGAATAACTCTACATATTGTTATTTTTTTTAATTGATCTGATAAATTAATCCAGCAATGTATTCCGATTTTGTATCAATATTTGGCAAGAGGGACGGTCCCAAAAGGAGTTTGGAATAGTATCGGCTACTCTACTCTAACAAAAGTAAACACCCTTCGACTAATAATTTTATGATACATATATATGAAATTGCTTGGCATGAATAGAGGGTTAAACTACCAAGACTGGCGCTGGAGTCTTGTCCTGTCCCTCCGTAATAACATTGAAACATTTGAGTATACACCATAAAGATTTTTTTTTTTTTGTGTGTGAAAAGAAGTGCCAGGTCCGTCTTGGTTAAATAAAGTCTTCTCCACTATGATGAATTTCTCTGATCCAAAAAATCATATAATATAATAACTTAGGAAATTGTTTCATCCTCTTTCGGGCCAAGAAAGCTAAATGTATGACAACACGTGCAAATGGGATTTTAGACATGATTTATCAGCAAGATCAACTACGGTAACTTCAACAGAGATTTGCTGGAAAAGCGTATCATTATATTGAAAAAAAAGGAGCCATTTGTTTCATGATGAGGATATTAGCGTTTGCCTTTTCAAGACGGAAATTTTAGTGATTGATTATTGGTAAGTATCTCCACAGAATTAGGAATTCAGTCCGGGGTACAGTCGTTTCGGTACCCGGTACTTCTAAAAGAGGTTGTTTCGGTACTTTTTGTAAGTAGTTTCGGTACCTGTATTTAAGTTGTTTCGGTACTTCCAACAGTTTTTTCGGTACTTCGTTTATTAGTTAATAAATATTTCTCATTTGTTATTTATTGTTGGTCCGTGGTATCTCTATTTCTATATACTGTATAACAGTATTTTATGCAAAAAGCAACACAATCACATTAGTGGAGAACAATTTATGCATGCTGTAAGTCTGCTTCCCCACCCGGGATGACTTTTTAATTAAAACCGATGATCCATCTGGACTCTAGATGTATTTTTGCAAGACTAGATTATAGATGAAATACGTATATATATGTAACGCACCAAGGTACGTTCTTATTCAGTAGACAGTCGTGAACTGATGGAGTGATTTTGTTTATGTGATAAACATTATTTTGATGTTTAACGTTTGATGCGGAAGAAGAGATCGGGCAAGGAATTGAGGCTGATCCTCTCCTGAATATCCCGATACATCAATGAACTGAAGTATTTCTGATTTTTGTTTGTTTTGATATTAAATAAAACGGGAAACGATTATTTTACATGATCAGCAACGTCTCTGGCATGATTGCAAAGAAGATGCAACTTTTAATGATATTGCAATGACAAAGCGCGGGAATAATTCATTGTAGATGGCGCTGATGATATTCAAATTTTGCCTATATGGATGAGACGCTTGGAAACTGTGTATAGCTCAACGCATACAAACACGAGATTGAGTCGGACAAATTACGCCACCCAAGCTGGAAAGGCGGACGCGTTAAGATTCCGCCATTTTGAGTTAATGGAAAATAACTTATAAATACTAAAATCAAGCAAGAAGAAATTAATGCGTACATTTTACAGACAAATCCGAGCAGCAGGTAATTATATTAAAATGTTCGAATGACTGTTGTAACTCATCAAGCTTAAATATGTTGGTATGGTCGCGTAAAATGTGTGTGCGGCCCGCATCCGGTTTACGTTGTAGAAAGATAGGATATTTTAATTTCCAAAACAGACTTCGAACCGAATGGTTGACGAATATGCACTTGTTTAGAGTGCCCAGTGTGTATTTCTGGACATACTTAGATAAAAATGGAAACGATTGCTATTTTTGATTGTCTGGTTTTGTTGATTAAGTTTTTTTAGGAAACCTGTGCCCGTTACGTCATATTCAAGAAACCCATGCATTTTTTTTCGGTGTGTTGTCCGAGGGCCGATGTGTTAGGTTTGTGTCTCTGTCGAGACAGAAAGCTAAGATTTATTGTTTTTACAACGGCTATTCCGTTGGGCCAAAATTATGAAGATGTATGTATTTTCCCCCATGATCCAGCTGTCGCTGCGATCGTTGACTATCACTAGGACCTTATTTAGTGACGTGTTACGGTGTATCGGACGATGGAGACTTGCACAAGGCCGACCTAGCAATGTAGAGTTTTCGGTCATTGAAATTAAAGGAGTTAAATATTTTCAAACCGTTTATATCGTGTATACGTAACAGTTATATTGCATGTATTGTCGGAACGGTTAACGCTTCATTGAAAAATCGCAAAACATTAAAACCAGCGAACAGACCTTTAGACTTGCCCATGTCCCTATATAAGGCCTATATACCTATCGCATACAGTGTATTCAATTCAATTATATGCATTATTGCCATCAAAAGAAAGTTTTGATCATTTTATTCATTGAAATGCTTACAATCTCTTTTACTGGTTTAAAGTGCCTAAAGTTTATTGACTGCACTGAAAGTTCTTGGAAGGATTTGTTTTGGCTAATTCATGAACAACCCAGTATTAATTAATAATAATATACAGCATTTGATATAGCGCCCTATCTAGCTAACATAAGCAAATCTAAAGCGCTTGACAGTACATATATATATACATTTTAATAAATACAAATAGCATATACAATTTTTTGAGGAATTTGCAGGAGCTGCCTTATCAGGCGCTAACTACTAATCCTATGCCACCTAGCTATTATCTCCCTATGTGTGTATGCCTGCGTGTGTGTGCTGGAGATGCATTGTGTTCTGTTTGTAGTTGGACCGTGCTTCCAATGGCATCTTTTATAGTAATACCGCAACATCCACCCCAGACCATTTTATACTCCACCTGGGTTGTTGGAGTTGTGTGGGCAGGAGAAAAACACTTTCTCTGATATTCCATGCATGCAACGGCTTCGGGGATCGAACCCCGGCCACCTGCGTGGAAGGCCGAAGTGTTAACTGCTCGTCCAATCCGCCCATAAATTAATTCAACATATTAAGTATAATAAAAAAAATCCAAACAAATTGAGTTAGAAATTATCAATTGAAATGTAGACAAAAAGGCAGAAATCATCGTTTTATACAAGAATTACACTTCATCACATAAAATAGAAGATAGAACCCTTAACAGTTACAATTAATTCTTAACTTTATCATATATTTAAACCAAACACTACTTCATTATAAATTACACAATCATTTTAATTGAAATAATAGTAATTATTATTTATTGTTTCTTCTTTTGACTGTTAAACATATTTGGATGTATTTGCCAGTTTTAGCCGGGTTAGGTCTAGATCTACACCGTTATAGAACATCCAAAATGATGGTTCCATTTCAAGTCTTTTAATAAAAATGTAATAGACAATCATTTCATAATTAACATATTGATGTATATATATATGGGTCAAAGAAATTATATCAACAATTAGTTCCCAAATAACACTGGATTCTTTCAAACATTTTTGTAGGATAAAAATTACTTAATTTTGTAAATGGGGCATGGAATTAATTTCCACAGTGTAGACAATATGAGGTTGTCAGTTTTTCAGAGAAATCTGCTCCTTTATCAAGACACTGAAAAAACAGAATACTTTCATTGCATAAAAACCAAAATTGAAATATGATATATAACTCATATTTCACAACAATAAGCTTAAGCCTCTCGGCTAGAGTAAACCGAAGGCAGGATTTACAACAACCGCATTGTTGACTAATGATGATGTGTGTGTTTTTGTGTGTAAACATGAACGACAAAGACATTATAATATACCGGGAATACTGAAGCGTGAATGTCTTCTCAGCATATTATAATCTCTTTGTCATTGTTCGCATACTAGGTATCATTAAACCCACAGGCAGATTTTGAGAAAGTCTCTACCACTCCAACCCAATTCTCATAGTAAATATTGAAAATATACTAGATTACTAGCAGGGAAATGATATATTATAGCCTGGGTGTTTCAGTAGTAAAATAGTACACCTCCGATCATGATATAATATACCTGTTCAGTGGATAGCGCACCAATTCAAGGCAACCAGGGTTCGATTCCTCGATCGGACGTGAAAGGAATGGGGTCACCTGTCTGACCTTGTGATTTTTCTCCGGGTACTCCGGTTTCCTCCCACCTTAAGACCCCCTGCGCTAACATCTGGGCCAACAAGAGTGATTATATATAAGTTGAAATAACCTGTTTCATAATTGTGGTAAAAAAAATAAAGTACATATTACATGTAATTAACATTTTTTCAGCATAATGGAGGACGAAACATCTCCAGAAAAATCTCCAGTCAAAGATGTGAGTACCAGGACAACCAGGTCGTCAAAGGGCAAAGTTCAGGAACAAGAATCACCTGTGGCAGGGTCATCTAAAGAAGGAGGTCAGAGTTCAGATGAGACAGCTGTCATTGCAGACTTTCCAACCGCACCTGTTTTGCGTACAGAAAAAGAAAGAGCAGCCTGGGAAAAATACAAAGATCAGTTTCAGACTCTGGTAAATCATTATATATGTATTACTGGTAAATCATTATATATGTATTACTGGTAAATCATTATACATGTATTACCAGTAATACATGTACAATGAGTTACCAGTAATACATGTACAATGATTTGCCAGTAATACATGTATAATTATTTACCAGTAATACATGTTTATAAATGATTTACCAGTAATACTTGTATAATGATTTCCCAGTAATACATGTATATAGATGATTTACCAGTAATACATTTATATAAATGATTTACCAGTAATCCATGTACAATGATTTACCAGTGATACATGTATAATGATTTACCAGTAATAAATGTATAATGATTTACCAGGAATACATGTATAATGATTTGCCAGTAATACATGTACAATAATTTACCAGTAATCCATGGATAATGATTTTCCAGTAATACATGTATATAGATGATTTACCAGTAATACAAGTATAATGATTTACCAGTAGTACATGTATATAAATGATTTGCCTGTAATTCATGTTTAATTATTTTCCAGTAATACATGTATAATTATTTACCAGTAATACATGTATTACTGGTAAGTCATTTATATACATGTATTCCTGGTAAATCATTGTACATGGATTACTGGTAAATCATTAGACATGTATTACTGGTAAATTATTGTACATGTATTACTGGTACATCATTATACATGTATTACCGGTAAATCATTTATATACATGAATTACTGGAAAATCATTATATATGTATTACTGGAAAATCATTTATATACATGTAATACTGGTAAATCATTTATAAACATGTATTACTGGTAAATGATTTATATACATGTATTACCGGTAAATCATTTATATACATGAATTACTGGAAAATCATTATACATGTATTCCTGGTAAATCATTATACATTTATTACTGGTAAATCATTGAACATGTATTACTGGTAAATGATTATACATGTATTACTGGGAAATCATTTATATACATGTCTTACTGGCAAATCATTATACATGTATTAGTGGTAAATCATTGTACATGGATTACTGGTAAATCATTATTCATGTATTACTGGTAAATCAATATACATGTATTAATGGTAAATAATTATACGTATATTACTGGAAAATCATTGTACATGTATTTCTGGTAAATCATTTATATAAATGTATTACTGGTAAATCATCTATATACATGTATTACTGGCAAATCATTATACATGTATTAGTGGTAAATCATTGTACATGGATTACTGGTAAATCATTAGACATGTATTACTGGTAAATGATTTATATACATGTATTACTGGTAGATCATTGTACATGTATTACTGTTAAATCATTAAACATGTATTACTGGTATATCATTGTACATTTATTACTGGTAAATCATTAAACATGTATTACTGATAAATCATTGTACATGTATTCAGTTTCAGACTCTGGTAAATAATTATATATGTATTACTGGTAAATCAGTTATATACATGTATTACTGGTAAGTCATTATACATGTATTACTAGTAAATCATTATTCATGTATTACTGGTAAATCATCTATATACATGTATTACTGGTACATCATTATACATGAATTACTGGTAAATCATTGTCCATCTATTACTGGTAAATCATTTATATACCTGTATTACTGGTAACTCATTATACATGTATTACTGTTAAATCATTTATATACATGAATTACTGGGAAATCATTATACATGTATTAGTGGTAAATCATTGTACATGGATTACTGGTAAATCATTAGACATGTATTACTGGTAAATGATTATACATGTATTACTGGCAAATCATTGTACATGTATTTCTGGTAAATCATTATACATTTATTACTGGTAAATCATTGTCCATGTATTACTGGTAAATCAGTTATATACATGTATTACTGGTAAAGCACTGTATCTGTATTACTGGTAAATCATCTATATACATGTATTACTGGCAACTCATTGTACATGTATTACTGTTAAATCATTAAACATGTATTACTGGTAAATGATTATACATGTATTACTGGCAACTCATTGTACATGTATTACTGGAAAATAATTAAACATGAATTACAGGCAAATCATTTATATACATGTACTACTGGTAAATCATTATACTTGTATTACTGGTAAATCATTTTACATGTATTACTGGTAAATAATTATACATGTATTACTGGTGAATCATTGTACATGTATTACTGTTAAATCATTTATATACATGGATTACTGGTAAATCATTAGACATGTATTACTGGTAAATCAGTATACATGTATTACTGGTAGATCATTATACATGTATTACTGTTAAATCATTAAACATGTATTACTAGTAAATCATTTATATACATGGATTACTGGTAAATCATTGAACATGTATTACTGGTAAATCATCGTACATGTATTACTGGTAATTAATTGTACATGTATTACTGGCAAATCATTGTACATGTATTCAGTTTCAGACTCTGGTAAATCATTATATATGTATTGCTGGTAAATCATTATACATGTCTTACTGTCACATCATTGTACATGTATTACTGGTAAATCATTATACATGTATTACATTGTATGCATCCTATAATGTATCTGTAGAATTTGAATGATTTCCAGAAAATAGTAAATTGTACATACATGTGCACTTGCCATTCATTTATACGATGGCTAAATTTTGATTCTGTGAAAAGGTATGGGTCACCTGTAGCCTAACCATGTGGGTTTTCCCTGGGTATTCTAGTTTCCTCAAAGCTCCCACATAAAGAATGCCTGTGTATTTCCATGAGTGATTACTATAAGTTGCAAATACTGTTATAACATCTTTACTTTTAACTTGTATGTTTGTATTATATATGTATTGTCAATAAAATACGTTTGAATTGAATTGAATAAATTACGAAGGTTGTAAAATCAGTGTAAACACCATTTATTTAAAAAAAAAATGCACTTTTCATTAATTTAAGATTCTAATTATAATTTACTTAACAGACGCAAATGTTATGAAATTGTGACAAATTAAAGTTGTATTTTAATTGGGAATCCATACAGGCCTGGAATATGTTGATGCCCCTGACATGATCACACAACTGTTGTAACAGGTGATCATCCTGGAATTACTACCAATGGGTTTACAAGTCACGTGTGACTCTCCCTCTTTGTAACTGGTTTGCATATTGGGAAACAATGCTGAAAATAGTTTGTCGCCAAGAAAAGGAATCGGTGAGAAAACCTGAAAATATAATTTATGTTTGTCTAAATACAAATACAATGTTGTGTTTGATGTTACAGTGTGCCGCCCTGAAGAATGAAGGAGTTGACGTGATGCTGGTCGCCAGCCCCGATAAAGGCAGCAGTGTTACAAAAGGTTTGTACATAAAACTTTATAATTAATTAAACTATGAATCAGTCCTTCCAAGATAACCATGCATGTTAATTGTCTCCAGTCTATAAATAGTTTAGTTCTGTTCCAGGAGTTATGAGCAGACCCCAGACAGGGCTAAACAATAAGGGTAGCCCGATAGTCCAGGGCTCACTGTGGACCTAAACAATAAGGGTAGCCCGATAGTCCAGGGCTCACCCTGGACCTAAACAATAAGGGTAGCCCGATAGTCTAAGACGACTGAAATCTCCAGCTGGACCAATACCAGTGGTTCTAAAAATGCTAGTCTGAATGACGTTTCAAAATTTGAAACTGCTTATTTTGTTGAATTATATTGGGTTAGTAGAATTTGCGCATTGACTAGTAAACATTGGGAATTACTAGCCCTGCTGCCCCGGGACTTTTCTAGGGGACATTTGTTTCAATTTGATGTGGCATGAATAAATCAGTATCAGTACATGGAAAACAAAAAATCTCTCCTCCACTTTTTCTGAGCACTTGGATGTGGAAAATTGCAAAAAAATACCATGAAAAATGCTAGAACACAATATTACCGTAATTCATCTAGAAACCATTGAGTGTCAACCTTGAAACTACCAATACCCCACATGGCCTCCCCCTATCTGAACACACCTGGAGAAAACATGTGAGTTGTGGGAATGTGTTCTTGCATAATTTTAGGTATATTGTTCCAGTCTATTTACCTGTAAATGAATGTGGTTGGGCAGTGCTAGAATTGTTAAATGCTAGCTGTTAGCGTCAAAATGGCAGCACCAGCTGTATGCTCCCAAGGGAGTTGAGAAAGATATTGGCTGGTTGGAAAGGCCCTATAACCACGGATAATAATCTGTGAACTGCTTTGAAATGACCTACGAACTAGGTTGTGATACAGCGGTATGCAAGAACCTCAAATTATTATTATTTTAAGTTATTTAATAACGTTTATCTCTTTCTTTTCAGCTGCTGAGAGTGACAAGAAAAAGTCTGCTGACAAAGAAAAGTCTGAAGATGATGAAGATGAAGATGAAACACTGCAAACAAAAAATGATGAGAGTGAAAATGAAGGAGAAGAAACTGAGGAGAAGATTAAGGAAGTCAAAAAAAGAGGAAGGCCCCCAAAGACACCCGCTAAAGTAAGTGAGGAATCAGATGGAAATACAGAGGAGGCAAAGAGTAAGGAGACTAGAAAACGAGGCAGACATCCAAAGGCACCTGTCAACCCCAGCGTAGAATCAGACGAGGATAATAAAGACATAGAGGAGGAGGATACACAAGAAAAGAGAACACGAGGACGACCAAAGAAGACGTCTAATGTTGAGGAGTCCGAGGAGAAAGATGATGATGATGAAGTTGAGAATGAAGATTCACAGGACACAAAAAAACTTGATGAAATTGTGAAAACTCCAGGAAAGGGTTCAGTTACACCTAAAGTGTCGGACACTGAGGTAAAGCGGGGTAGAGGAAGACCACCTAAAACACCAAAAGAAAAACCAGAAAAACCAGAAAAAAATACAGATTCCGAAAAAGTTGATGATTTCGAAAAAGTAGAAAAGAGAGGAAGACCTAAAAAAACTACCAAAGACAACCAGGACGAAGTTGATAAAGAAAAACCAAAGAAAAAGCCCAGTAAAGGTACACCAGTACATACACCCGCGCCACCGGTCAGTTCCAGATCGGGACGGATCAGGAAAACGCCTGCCAGGTACCTAGACTCAGCAGTCATAGAAATATCAGACACGGAGGAGACTAAGAACAGTGAATCCGAGGGAGAGGAGGAGGAAGGGGAGGAGTCAGGTGAAAAATCTACAAAAGGCAAGCGAGGACGTCCCAGGAAAATATTAATTAAATCTGAGCCTAATAGTGAAGCTTATGAAAAGGCAGCATTAAAGGGTGTAAAAGAGAAAGATGAAGTTGATGATCAGGATGGACAGCCCGCAGAACATTCCTCTGATGCTACAACTCCAAAAACAACTGATAAAACATCTGACAGTGTTTCCAAAGGGAAGCGTGGACGGCCACGTAAATCTGGGGGAGTGGAGAAAGGGGAGACCAGCAGGAACGATACACCAGCTAAGAGGAGTGGACAAGTTAAAAAGGAACCAAATGACAATGATGCGGGTTGTGCACAGAAGAGGACAGTCAGAAAGAAGGATAATTTCAAATGTGAGAACTGTGACAAAGAATTTATCCTGGAATGTCTGTTAGATCGTCACTTAAGGTCATGCACAAAGAAAGCACCTAAAGTGAACAAGTCTAAAGAGAAAGTAACAGATGGAGGAGACGGGGGCGGGGACAAGACCATGGTCGTGTCAGATACAGAGAAAATACCAGCCACTGAGAAAGCAACAGACACGTCGGATATGGACGGAATCGAAGATTGTGAGGAAGCAGAAAATAGTGACGATGAAGCAGAAGGAGAAATAACAAAGAAAAGGAAAAGGGAAGAAGATGATGAAGACAGTGAGGCTGAAGAGGCTAAAAAACCAAAAACTTCCGGAGACGACGAATCAGATCAGGAAATTGAGGAAGGTTCTAATGAAGTGTTTGATTCTCTTTCCTTGTCACCAAAGAAAGCTGGTCGAGGCCGGCCGCGTCGACAGATTTACAAGGAGGATTACGATGATGATGGTGACTTCTTACCTGACAGACTTAAGAAAGCTAGGAAAAATGCCATGAAAAAGTTCTCTCAGACAGATTTGTTGTATATGCAGATGAACATTAACGACGATGAAATTGAGTGCAAGCTTTGCAGCAAAACTTTCAAGGATGTGAAATATTTGAGACGTCACATGACAATCCATGCAGGGATTCGAGACTTTAATTGCAAAATCTGTAGAAAAAGTTTCATGCGCAAATACGACCTTCATATCCATATGATCAGGGTACACTCTTGGGTCAAAACAGGTCGCGGAAAGATCAAGACTGAGGATGACCTTGAAGAAGGGGAGATTACTCTAGATACTCCAAAATCTAAGAAGTTAGAAAGGACCTCTGAAGGTGACAGTGAAGGTGATGGTGATGGTGATGGTGAAGGTGATGCTGATGCTGATGCTGAAGGTCATGGTCAAGGTCAAGGTGACGATGCTAATGTTGAAGACGTTGAAAATATTGACGACGAAGAAGAGAGTCAGGAAAAGGTTGAAGAGCGTCAATTTTCATGTGAAACCTGCGAAAAGAAATTTCGTTTTGAATCCTCATTGAAAATTCATATCCAGACACACACGGACACAAAGTCATTTCTTTGTGATTTGTGTGGGAAGGGATTTTCCCTGGAGAAGTATCTCTCCAAGCATCGAGTGAGACACGAGAAGGAAGGTATCATCAGTGTGCAGGGAGATATCAAAGTGTATAATTGTCAGGTCTGCCAGAAAACATTTGAAGTCCTGTCCGACTACCAGACTCATATGAAGTCGCACAAGGATGAAAATCTACGGACTTTCCATTGTGACCAGTGTCCAAAAGGTTTCTTCAAACTTGCCCATCTTAAACGGCACCTTCTCACTCACACGACTGATCGCACTTACAAGTGTGCTTTGTGTGACAAGAGGTACAAAGATCCTGACACTCTACGGAAACATCAGAAATGCGTTCACCAGGTTAAGGACGAAACGACTGGTGAGGTCATGGAAAAAAAGGCTTGGCCTTGTGATGAATGTGGAAAAGTCTTCTTCAATACTGGACATTTGAAGAGGCATAAGTTCCGTCACACAGGTGAGAGGCCATTTCCCTGTGGAACTTGTGGGAAATCATTCGCAGAGAAGAAAAGTCTTGAAAATCATACTCGTATTCACACGGGAGATCGCCCTTATCATTGCGAGCAATGTGGGCGAAGGTTTATACAAATGTCACATCTCCGACGACACAAATATCTCCATACTCAAGTCAGGAACTTTGAATGTCCGCAATGCAAGAAAAGATTTTTCGAAAACACTGATTTAATGAAGCACATTCGTGTTCATAGCAACATTCGACCGTTTAAATGCGACCTCTGTCACATGTCATTTGCGCAAAAAAATGTTCTGGTCTGCCATCGACGACGTCACACGGGCGAGAAACCTTTCATTTGTGACATTTGTAGTCGTGCGTTTACACAACTCGGATCTCTACAGACTCATCGTCGTCTCCACACAGGAGAGCGTCCTTACAAATGTCAGTACTGTGATCAGGGCTTCGTCAGCAAGGAGCGGATGAAGTTCCACTCGTTCGTCCACACTGGTATCACACCACATATTTGTCATATCTGCGGGAAGGGCTTTCGACTCAAATTCAAGCTCCAGAGTCATATTGACTCCCATGAGGGTGTGTTCCGTCACAAATGCCAGTACTGTGCCAAGGGTTTCCTAGAGCGCGCCAAATTGAATCGTCATATGAAGCAGGTACACAACGAGGACAGACAAAAGAGTCAGATCTCCATGTACGGATATAAAGGAAATGTCGTTAAACTGGAACGTGCCTCGCAAATGGAAGAAGTGGAAGGTCATCAAGAAATTATCATCCGTAATCTTGGTCACTTTGACGGGAAGGACAACCATTCTGAAGAAATCATCGAGACCACCTACGTTACAATCCCCAACGAGCTGACGGAGGGTGAAGACCATGAGACCGACAACGCCATCTCACACATCACCTTGGATGCTAGCGAAGTCTCGGCTGCGACTGCCGCAAATATTGGAGCATTGTTTGATGGGACAACAAACAGTATCACTATCCCCCAGGACAGTATTATATACGAGGGTGAGGGGGGCAATATCGGAGAGGAAGTGGTTTATGTAGTCATCCCAGAGGAAAACCAAACAGTAATACTCTCTTAGTGAGATATATATATAGACAGTGAACTGGGGCATGAACAGTAATACTCTCTTAGTGAGATATATATAGACAGTGAACTGGGGCGTGAACAGTAATACTCTCTTAGTGAGATATATATAGACAGTGAACTTGGGCATGAACAGTAATACTTTCTTAGTGAGATATATATAGACAGTGAACTTGGGCATGAATAGTAATACTCTCTTAGTGAGATATATATAGACAGTGAACTTGGGCATGAATAGTAATACTCTCTTAGTGAGATATATATAGACAGTGAACTGGGGCGTGAACAGTAATACTCTCTTAGTGAGATATATATAGACAGTGAACTGGGGCATGAACAGTAATACTTTCTTAGTGAGATATATATAGACAGTGAACTTGGGCATGAATAGTAATACTCTCTTAGTGAGCTATATATAGACAGTGAACTGGGGCGCGAACAGTAATACTCTCTTAGTGAGATATGTATAGACAGTGAACTGGGGCGTGAACAGTAAAACTCCCTTAGTGAGATATATATAGACAGTGAACTGGGGCATGAACAGTAAAGACAGTGTTGTGAACAGAGTGGTGAAATTTTATTAATGATATTAAAATTGTTATGTATCGGTACGTATACTAGTACAATGTTTAAAGTAGAATATATACGTGAAGGGAGATAACTCAAACACATGTCACCTTTTAAACAAATTTATTTCCTACCTACCCTTATTTTTTCCGATATGTAACGGGAAACAAATATGTCTTTTGTTTGGCCTAGTTATAATATGGTACTCCAATCTGTGTCTCGTTACACTCTCCCCACTCATAATGTTGTTACAACAAGCGGGATTTTTTTGATTTTTCTTAACAAAATTTCTATCATATATATATATATAGGTTCAATATTAAAATCCAGCTTTTCAACTCAATTGAAATTTATCTGAGGAATTTAGCCGCCGAGCTGATGAGGCTCCACAGTATAGATGTTGAACAATCAACTCATTCACCCCTGAAATTTCATGATGAACTATTCCAACCTTTGAACTGGAAGAGTTCAAATGTGTTTTCAGGGATGAAAGATGTATCAAGATAACAAGACAGACAGTGTTACATGAAATATTTGTGTTGTGTTTTATGATAATGAGGTACAGTTTATGATAATGAGGTACAGTTGTATACTATAATAACATTAAGTATTTTTCGCTGATGTACCCTGTAATGTACATATTTGATACAAAGTCAGTGATGGGCTGGTGATTGATTATGACCGATCATTGATCTGTTTGCACTTTCCGATTCCAATTTTCTATTAAAATGTTTGTAATTGATACATACATGTATATATACAAGTTTGCACTTCCTGTTTTTTGCTATAAAATTGATATGATCAGTTTGTTACTGAACTCGAATGTCAAATGTATACATGCTAAGTATTCATTGAAAGTCGTTCATGTTTACGAGTTTTGTTGAACGATTGATACTTATGTAGAAAACTTCGTACAAGTTGCCTGTAATCCGTTCATTATAAAAGACAACTCTGTTGATGTAGAATAGTGTTCTCACTTTATCATGGGTATTTAGGACCGTAAGATTATAACATAATTATGCAATCGATCATCGATCGGATTACCACTTCTTATAACAAACCGATTATCGATCATGATTTTAAACTGATTGTTAATCACCATATATAACATAGCTTCCATGGCTTCCAATATATATATAATTTTTTTTTCTTTCTAGATATTGATAAAATAATATGAAAAAGTTTTAACGCTTTTCTCCAATGTGATTTACAGTATATATAATGTATCACAACCTACAGGACAACACATTTAACATCGGACACTGCGGACTACACTACAGAAATCCTAGCTTCTCATCAAAGTGTTCCACTAGCCTGTTGAAAATTTGAAAGAATATGACAAGTTTTAAATTCAAATCTTTGTTCCGAATTTTTTCATAAGAAAGCAATCATGATTTTACTTAGTTATTGACATTTTCCTGTTGTTTTCAATTTGTAGTTTCATTTTATTAGTTCTGGAGAAATTTAAGTTTATAAATTAAAAACATGTAACATAATAAAGAAAATCGGGTTGGGCGAGTAAGATCAGGAATACAGTACGTTCGCTGGTATCAAATATCATATATTTATTATGTAAAATCATCATATTTCTGGGATTTGGGGTCTTTTTTCCCCCAGGAATTTTAGATTGTTTCAAAAATTGTGCTTAATTATTGACTAATTGTTGACTTGACAGATGTCTATGTTGTATTGATGAGATTTCTTGCCAAGGGAGACAATCACTCTGATGTGTCACCTACATAATATGATCACTGTTGTACGTGTACCGTATAATGAGAGATCAGACTTTTTTTTCACACATTTATTCAAAAAGAAATCTTTTTAAAATTGGCATTTGTTTAATTGTATTTCAATAGATATTTAAAGATTTTAAATATATTTTTACGAATGTAATACATGTAAATGTTCATCAACACTTGTACCCAAGTACAAACTTGTATTTATGGAAGTTTCTTGTGCTCTGTTCTTTATGACATATAGTGTACATTGTTGTACATAAATATACTGGGGCCGCGATGGCAAAGTGGTTAAGCCGTCTGACATTCTGCTTCCACTAGCCCTCCACCACTGGGTCGTGGGTTCGAGACCTACGTTAGGCAGCAGCCAGGTACTGGCCGTATGTCAGTGTTTTTTCTCCAGGAACTCCAGCGTTCCTCCACCACCAAAACCTGGCACATCCTTAAATGACCATAGCTGTTACAAACTAAACCAAACCTTAAATATACCCTGAAATTTTCGTCTCGGTTCAAAATTTCCCCTTTTTCGCCAAAAGAGGACAAATATATATCATGACAGGGAATATTAGTACACAACATACAATGTATAGTAATTACGTGTGAATGGTGAAATAATACTGGGCAAACATGGAGTTTATTGGAAAAGAGCGAATATTTAACTGGGCGAAAGTTTCCCGGTATACAGTAGAAAAGTAGGACAACATTAAAAATAAGCTGCTTGGTTTAATTAGCTTCAATGACCTTTTCAAATTATATTAAGTGTATATACTTTTTAATTAAACTGTAGGTAATATATAGGGATATTTGTTTCATTACTTGATTTTTAACAAATCTTTGGATAAAAATGATGGAAATTATTTATTATTGAATTAATTATTATCATTCTTAAATATTGTATTGATCCTGATGTGAAGTGTCGAGTGAAACAGATTTATATAAGAATTTTATTGTGAATTTATATCAATAACAAAGTGTATAGTGTTGTACATGGGACAGGCATTGTTTCCTTATCTGGCCCAGAGCATGATAAACTTAAAGACCACTGCCAAAAAATGTACATGTAACTAAACTAAGTATTGGAAACTGTTTTTTCCTGCATCAGGATAGCTTTGATAAATCATCATTTATGGAGAGAAAACCATACCTTGTGAGTTGATAAAAAAATTAACAAAGGTGGGGAAAAAACCCAAAATATTATCAACAATGCTTGGAGTGTAAACATTCTATGGAGGCTACACTGGGATTAGAACCCAGGACTTCAGATTATTATACTGACACTCTAGCTGATTTAGCTACCTGGTCAGCGAAGTGTCCTATCCCAACTGTTCTACAGGTGTATCCAAAACAAAATAAGGGGAGGTAACTGAATGATAAACCAGAGTGCAGTGGGACAGGGATCCTTAACAGAAACTTAACAAAAAATAATTCCTGCATGTGAAATTCAGGCGAACTTGAAAGGTTGCTAAATAAGATCGTAATATTGATACCACAAAAGTGATATTTTGGTCGTCACATACAGGCGTGTACCTGTGACATCGATATCAAGTGTTCTGCCTGATGTGTGGTTCATATGATGTGTTTACTTGCTGTAAACGACTAGGGACAACAAAAGTATTTCTAGTTTTAGAAATTTCTCGTAGATTTGATTTTGACAACTCTTGAAGCAAGTCGGGTTTTGAACATAATGCTCATTGTTTTTGTTTGTGCCTGGTATTGGTTATAGATCTGTGGTGCTCTTTATGATAAAGATTTCATTATGAATTCAAAAATAAAAAGATATACAAAAAATTGAAGATATAAATTTCACTATGCCAAATTAAGCCATTCCTCTATTTAGAAATGATAAGAAGTTTAGTGACATCAAAACCTCACCATTTATTGTCCGATTGACCCGTTTTTAATTGTTGTATGTAGAGGATGTGTTGAGTGTGGGTTCCTCCGGAAAGTTTTACCTGTGTTTATTAAACTGAATTATGTTTGTTGGATGATTACAATGTTGTTTCTTCATTAAATCTTGTTAAACATTTGTTGTTTCAATGTGTTGTTTCTTTAGCTCACCAGGCTAAGATGCCGTGGAGCAGTAATTATAATAATAATGTTTATTCAGGTAAAAGATACATGGCAAACATAAAATTACATTACCCAAGCAAAGAGATCACAGAATGGTATTTGATGAAAGACTAACCTTCAGATATTGCAAAATGCATATGACTAAACTTTATATTATTTCAAGTAAAAAGCATTAGGTAGTAGTATTATCACAGTTTGTATGAATATCACATAAATTTTTGGAGGTACAGACAGTGAATGATAATCTTGAATTGGTAATCTTTTACCTAGGATTGCCTATGAAAGTGTTGAAAAAACTGATTTCCAATGGGGTCCTTAAGAAAAATATTAGCAACCGATCAAGATGATAGAATGGTTCTTATGATAAATACTATTGGCAGTGTCTGCCAAGTTTTCACTGGAAACGACTTCTGTTGAATAACCAGAATTCTAATGTGATAATATTAGCCCACTACCATGTCAGATGAATGGCCTTTAACCACCTGTAAGGTCGCAGGGGTCAAAATTGTTCAAACATTTAAAACAGTTTCTTGTTATTAACCGAGATGTCTAGCAGGGTGATGATATTTAACCAGTTGTACGTTAGACAAAAAGTGTCAAATACATGACATTGGTCCAGTTTCAAGGTCACTGGGATCAAATAAAGCTCTGAATAATCCAAAGGCCTGGGAAGATATTTGGCCAGCAGCATGCTGGGATAAAAAGCATTCAAATTTGTTCAACCTCCAAGGTCTGCACTCAATCCTCCCACCAGTTACAAATGTTTGTCCGAAACACATCTGTACTATTTCACCTGGAGTAACCATCTTGGGATGGCGGTGCGTCATGTACAAAAAGTAGGTCACTGTAACAGGGTTTGACCTTCGATCTCAACCTTTGTAAAAGTTTGTAAGCGGCATATTTTCTATACCTTTTCACCTGAAGTAACTAGATTTGGTATTAAAGTACATATGGTGAAGTGTTAAGTACAAAAAATAGGTCATGAGATAGATGGGGGGAGGGGGTTATACGTGGTAACCACGTCCAGTTCTTCAAACACTGATACACATTGTGGAAATTTAATTAGTAAGGTGGAAAGGAATTGTGTTGGATGTACATGTATGTATCATAATCAATGTAAACACATATGACTCCCAATCCTATTATATTCTGAATGCCTTTTGTCGTTTCCCCGAAATCCAGTTCGCCCAAGGTTGTTTCACCCTGATATGAATAGATGTTTTTAAGTTATGAATATCAGTTTAGCTGTTTTAATGATTAAAGAAAGACTCTTTATGTTTCACGAACCACTGTGTTTTTGGAAGAATTCATGTGTACTACAACTTCCTACATTGCTATGCAGATCTGTTCGACCATGTAAAGGTCTGAAGAGTTATTACACAAATGAGACTAAGGAAGACTCTTAGGAAGACATCGTTGTAGTCATACACAACTGAATACAATGTAGGCCTATAAGGTTCCCTCTGAAAATGTATTTAAAGCGAGACGACCCTAGGCGAACGGGAGTTAGGACCATACGACCTGATACCATCGCTGGTAATAGTCTAGGGGTACACCCATTGCGACGTATGTAAAACAGTGTACTCGTCTCTGTACAATGTATTGATCATCCAGTTCTATTAAATTTTAATCACAGATGCCTGATATCCGGTTAAACGACAGTGAATTGTGTCGTAATTAACTGACGTGCCAACATTGTCAGATTGTATTTAGTCTATTAGCATGTCTTTATTATTACAGCCTGAAAACATCCCGTTTGAATTCTATGTACACGTACCGTTTCAGAACTTTAAAGTTCAAGTTCAATTTATCTGAATCGATTTGAAATTCGAGTATGACCATACCATCTTTTAGGGGGCCGGGATTCGATTCCCCGATCGGACGTGAACAGTTATGCGGTCCCCTGCCCCACCACGTGCCTTCCTTTTCGATTTTGATTTAGAACTACTTTTGTTTGGTAAAAGCACGGAATTAGATGTTATCTAAGTCCGTGGTAATATTCAACTTTCGGTAGAAATCAATACAAACCTTTTTAGACATGTGCATCAGTACATCAATTCCGGCAATATGTTTTGATAACTAGCCTATAATTATTTTTGTTATTTTTTATTTATGTGTGTACGTTGTTATATATATATATGTTGATGAAATTGCATTTCATTATTTTGCCTAATTTCTTTGTTACATTGATTCTGTTCATTTTGAAAGTACTCTACCAGGCTACATGTCATGATTTCCTTTCTAGGTAACACCCCACCCCACCTTTCCTTCTCCTCCCGGCCTTTTTCCAAAAAACATATACGTTATTTTTGCCATATGTATTGCGGAGAGGACTTTTTTTTAATTGAAATAACTTGTTGTGCAATCCATTTGTATATTTGTACAATAAAATATGTTTAACTAACCCACCAAGTGGGTTTTCCGGTTCCCTCCACATTAAGACCCCCCGCCGCGCATTACGACCGGGCTAACAAGAGTGATTTAAATACAAGTGAAAATAACTTGTTTCCTAATTGTCTTAAAACAAAAACATATATATTGAATATTCTAGCATTCAGACTTATAATTTACCAAGTCGATATGCCTAACACGTTATTCTTTAAGTTATAAATATCCAGACTCAAATCGATCAAGTTATGGGGTTAGAGTATTTAGGGTAGACTATAATATATGGTGGGGAATTACAACCGTTAAAACACTGCCTTCAAAAAGAATAAGGCAAAAATTGCGTGTGTTATAGTAGATATATATATTGGACATGTTCACGACTATTTTGTCAAGAAATATGTCCGAGTTATCTCCCTTCAACCTACAACAGTCAAACTATTTCGCATGTTATAAATGGAGTTTATTATATGAATGTATGATTTGAAGAGGTAGACGACTTAAAGATGTGCAATTTAAAACAAAAGACCGTTAATGGAAACATACGAAATCTGGTTGTGTCCTGTAATTAAAGAGAAATCAAGCAACATTAGAAGTTTAAACTCATGGTTTAGTATGGCGGGGATGTAGCTCAGTGGTAGAGCGTTCGCTTTGCATGTGAAAGGCCCGGGGTTCGATCCCCCGCATCTCCAGGAATTATTTTTTCAATTTCTTTTAGTTTTTTCTTCTTTTCAAAATCACGAATATATAATAATACAGAAATAGCCTTACATTTTTCACATCTAGAATGAAAACAAAGCAAGTTAAATATTATGTAATGTTCATTGAGTTCAACGAATTAAATAAAGTTAAGATCATTACATATCTTGTTTCTCTGATAATTAATTAAAAGTATCTGTTTCAGCTTCTACAGGACAA